CCGACCTTTAGGTCTAACATGGGCGACGGCTAGCACCACACTCCTCTCCTTAAAATCCCTGTGTGGTGGCGGCGTGCCGTCCTCCCATCCCTCCCTTGGGTTGTCTGTTTTCTTTCCTTCTTTCTGCGAAACAGCACCCATGTGGTGAGTTGTTGTGGAAGCAGGTGATTTTACTTTTTGCTTGGGGCGGAACTCATGCTGAAATTCTGGAAAAACCTGGCCGGCCCCTGCCCTGCCCCTACCTATTTACCTACCTACCTTACTTATGGGAAACTAAAAAAGAAATCACGGGATGGGTGAACGTGGTCTTAGCTCCCCGGCCCTGGATGTGCGGTTACTGACTGGAGACTGCACTCCGCAAGTGCTCCAAGTGGGGTATTACTATACCAACAAAGTGATGGCTGGTGGTACTCTCCTGCAACCACAGTCCTTCCTGTGACATGGCAGGCCACTCTCAAGCCCTAAAAGCACCAGATCACACACTTGGGGAGGGTTGACATCGTGATTTCCGCGGAAAATTTCTTTTCCAAATTCCAGCGTGAAGAGAGCAGAGAGGGCCGAAACCCCGACGGGAGGGCACAGACCTACCCTACCTACCCCAGCATGAGTTCCGCCCCAAGCAAAAAGTAAATACACCTGGTGGAAGAGAGAAAAAGAAAACCGACTTCAATCTTGGTCTTTCGGATTGGTCTTGGTCTGTCGGATTCCGGGCGCCGCGGCGCCCGCCGCGCGTGGCAGCCTCCCCCACCGCCGCCCGCCCCGCGGCGGCGGCCGCGGGCTCTTTCCGATAGAGTGTGGTGCCAGGAATAGGAATTCCCCTCTTAAGACTTAACCCACCTGTACATCACAATAGGGAATTCCTACACTCGGATCCTCTCGACCTCAAAGATGATGTTCGCACGCAAAAAAATATGAGAGCTAGCGCAGGGTGGACCTTGAGCTATTGGCCGCCTCCTGCCGCAGCCGCACCTTCTCCGCGTGCTTGAGCCGCCGCAGCTCGTTCCCGGGCCCGCGCACGCGCTTGCGCTTGCCGCTCGTCTCGGCACCGCCGCCCGTCTCGGCACCGCCAGCGGCTGCCGCGCCGTCCTTCCCCTTGCTAGGTGGCGGCTTCGAGGCAGCGACCTGGGGTGGCCGCTCCGGCTTCTTGGGCACGGCGAGTTTGGGCTTGAGGGCTGGCGCTGCGGCGGCCTCCGGCTCTGCCTCCGGCTCCGGCTCCGCCTCCGCCTCCGCCGGTCTCGGATTCGTACTGGAGTTGGATCTCCTCTCACCGGCGCCGCCGCCGCCGCCGCCGCCGCCGCCGACGCCGCGAGCATCGGCACCGCCGCTGCCGCCGCCCCCGCCCCCGCCACTCTTCTTCTTAAACGCTGTGGCCTTCTTCATGTGATTGCGCCACCCAGTAAACCCGCGCTTGGTCTCGCCGCAACCGGCACAATGGTAGATCGCTGTCTTGGGGTCGTCGCCGTCACGCCGGCCGAGCGCGCACTTGCTGCGGTCGAAGCGCGCCTCATCGTCCGCGGGGCCGCCCATCGCCGGTGAGGGCAATGTCCACGTCGTGGGCGGCAGGATTCGGGTATTTCGTCTGGTGCGGTAAGGTGACTGAGCCCTCTGCTCGCAACCACTCACCCATTGAATTGTCACTGCCCGTGAGTGCGAGATAGGGCTGGCGGCTGGTCGCTAGCCTCTGAGGAGGGCATCCATAGACGCCTCACATGACCCCACACACGGTCTCGTGCATGCCTTGGCCCTTGCGGCTGGCGGCGAGATTGCTAGAGGCGGAGCAAGCCTGCTCTAGTCTCACATGTTACTTCCTGTTCGTCTGTTGTGTTGTTGTGCCCTTGTTTGTTCCTTTGGCACGTTGGAGTGCTGGGGGGGGCGACAGGAAGGATGTGGCCCGGAGTTATGTGTACGCCAACTCAGGGTGCGTGGCAGCCAGCTGGCTGTGTGTCTTGTGAGCCTGTTTGTGTCTGTGTGTTGCTCGTGCGTGTCGTCATCATCTGTCCCGCGTCCACCCATACCGCGCTGGTGTCCAGTCCGAGCCTGACTGTTCTTCACCTTTCTACCTAACCTAACCCTTGGGCGCCTCGTAGGTCGGCTCCTCCGCCTCCGCAGGCGCAGCCTCAGCCGCCACCTCGTGTTGAAGCGCCTCCGTGTTCTTCTCATCGACCTCCTGGATGACAGCAGAGATTGCCTTCTTGGGGTCCTCGAACGCAAAGGCGAGGTCTGCGAGGTACCAGGAGAACTCGGTCAGGCCGATCTTACGGTCTGGTTCGCCCCTGACATCGTACCACTCAAAGAATTCCTTTTCGTTAAACGCTTTGGACGTGTACCGTTGCACGACGTCCTTGAGCTCATCCTTAGTCAGAGAGCCGCTGCCATCCTTGTCAAGCTTCGTGAAAAGCTCACCGATCTCTTTCATATGGTCCGCCACAATTGGATCGTACTTCTCTTCATGAACAGGCGCTTTATCCACCCTATATTCTTCTCTCGTTCCTCTGCCCGTGCCTTGGTCTTGTCGTTGTTTCGCATCCATGTCTGTATGGCCGTCGAGGCTGCCTTCCCCACTACCTGGACATACTATGCAGAAAGCCAACACCAATTCTTTTGGGCGCCCTACCTTGTAAGATTCTTTTGGGCCCTACCGCGCGGAGGGAGAGGGAGGCGAGGGGGAGGGGGAGGGGGATGGAGGGAGTGTGAGGGGTATGGGGGCGAGGGAATGGAGGGAGAGAGGAAGAGCAAGGGCGAGAGGGGGCAGGGGACTGGTCGATGGCATACTAGGGGGGGCAGGGTAGTGGGCGGCGATCGCCGCATACCGTCCTATGGCGGCGAGTATCGCTACGCCAGGGAGGACAAGGACGTCGACGTGCGGCTGCTGCTGTTCGAGTCGTTCGGTGGGTTTGGGAAGGGGGGTCGGCGAGATCCGAGATCCTCTGGGGGGCGGCGAACGTGCTGCAGAACAAGCTGACGCGGGCCCAGTACCTCGATGAGGTGACTTGGACCACCAAGAGCTGGCTGGGGCTGCAGAAGCAGCGCATCTCAGTCGTTCTTCACACGGCCATCGCACAGAGCAGATTGTGAATGAGCTTGCCAGCGGCGAGGGCGGTCGAGTGCACGGAGCTAAGTGCCTCGCCGTCCTCGCGGGAGTCGCTTAGGCGGCTCCAGTGGTGTACCTGTGTTATAGTGCCAGTGCGCGCCAGTCCCGTGCCCAGTGTTGTGAGAGGGCAGTGAACTTGGAGCACTTGGAGTGCAGTTGGCAGCCTCACATCCAGGGCCGGGGAGCTCAGAAGCGCACCCAGCGGGCCGGATGATCGGGATCGGGTTGCGGGCAAGAGAGCCCTAGCCCCGGGGGTGCGCGTTCGCAGGGAGAGGGCCTTAAAGTAAACACGGGTCTCCGAGGGTTGGACCCGCGTACCGGGTTTCCCCTTAACTGCAGGACGCCCCCTCTACTCGGAGCTAGTGGACATTACACTGGACACCACGCCCAAACATAGACACTTGCTTAGTCCTCGGTCCCGGAGCTCCACCTTCGGTCCTCCCGGGGCTCCGGTTCTCCCCGATTCGCTCTCTTGCTCGCTTGCCGAGCGTCATACGACGGCCGGTGTGGTCGTTTCCCTCGTTGTTGGTGTCGCTTCCTCCGCTGCCGCCTTTCGTCTTCGCCCGCCTCTCCCAGCTCCAGGCCGGAAAATTCTTTTATAGCTTTCCATGATGAGAGCGCTCCTGGCGCGCCGCTGCTGCGCATCCTCCTCCTCGCGTCAGAGCGGGTTCCTCCGCCTCGTGGGCCGGCGGAGGCAGTCCTCTGCCGGGCCCGCGGAGCCGGCGCCCGAGGCGGAGAGCTCGGCGTGGCCTCTGGCTGCCGGTGGCGCCCTCGCAGCCTCCATCCTGCTCGCCGGCGTCGCCGCCAAGCGCGAGCGGCTCGTTGCGCGAGTCCAGGCGTGCGTGGAGGAGTCGGGACCGCAGGGACTCGCGAGCGACGGCGCCTCGCTCCTGCAGATCGGCGGGCTGATGCTCGCCTTTTCGCTCGCGCAGCTGCCCGTCGATGAGCTCAAGCTGCGGCTGCTCGCGAGCGGGGCGGTGCAGCAGTGGGGCCAGCTGGTCGCCTCCTTCGAGGCGGACGTGCAGCAGGTGGCGCTCGGCGCGCTCACCGCCCTGCTCGAAGGCGCCGAGCCCATGGCTGCCTTCAACGCCGACGCGGGCCTGTACTCGGCCTACCGCGACGCCCTCCCGCCGGTGCGTCGCTCCGCATCCCCCTCCCTCCGTCCCATGCCCGCCGCCGGCTGACGCGTGCCCTCCGGCCGAACAGGTGCTGCACGCCTCGCCCACCGCCACACCCCTCAACGACTCGGAGGCGCAGGACACGTCGCCGAACCGGGTGCATCGCTGGCGCGTCTGTGACATGGCGCTGGCATGTCCGCAGGTGCTGCTTGACGCTCTCCGCCTGGCGGCCGCCCTCGCCAACCACCCCCAGTTCGAGCACGCCTCCACCGACGGCTGGTTCTTCGAGCGCCTCCTCGAGCAGGTGCCGCCTGTGGACACGTCGCGGACGTGTCGCGGACGCGTCGCAGAGTGCGGAAGGGACGTGTCACGGACATGTCACGTGTCACGGCTGCTCGATCAGGCGGCGCCCGCGACGGAGATGGACTCGCTCGCCGCGCTCTACTGGTCGTGCGCCGCCGCCGCCGCCTCCCGCCGCTCCGACGTCGCGATGGAGCTCCTCACATCCCCCACCGTCAAGTGAGACGCGCCCACCAGACACACCTCCGCACACCCCCCGCACACCCCCCGCACACCCTTCAGACACCCCCCCCGCACACCCTTCAGACACCCCCCCCCGCACACCCTTCAGACTCACCTCCCGCACACCCACCAGACACACCTCCGCACACCCCTTGCACACCTCCCGCACACCCCCCGCACACCCCCCGCAACCTTCCCAGGCGCTACCTCGTGCTGCTAGCGCCGCCGCCCGACACGCTGCTTGGCGCAGCGTCGCAGCAAGCAAGCGACGAGGACCTCGGTGGCGAGAGTAGCCGAGAGCGAGAATAGCCGAGAGCGGCCCTAAGCAGGGCCCTAAGAGAAAAGGCCAAAAGGAGGGGGGATAAGGGCCAGGAGGGGAGATCAGCGGCGAGCCCTAGCCGTGCCGTGCGCCGGACGTGTCGCGGACGTGTCGCGGACGTGTCGCGGACGTGTCCCCCCGGGCAGGCGAGCTGCTGGAGCCGTACGACGGGATCGTGCCTGAGGCTGCGGAGCAGGGCTACGGCCGGCTGCAGGGCGACGCGGCGGCGGACCTTCGCGACTGGCTCATCGAGGAGTACTCTCGCCTCGCGCTCTGCCGACTAGCGGCACACGCGGCGGAGGCGCACGCAGCAGCAGAGCTCGCAACTAGCACAGCGCGGCACAACAGTGCGGAGAGGAGTAGCCTGGCACAGTGTGGCAGAGGGCGCGAGATCAGAACGGCTTGCGAGGGGAGGGTGCACTGCAGCTGCGGCAGACTGCGGCCGCGGCAGAGGCGGCCGCGGAGGAGGCGAGGCGCCTTATTCTTCCCCCCCTTAAACCCCCCTTACCCCCCCCCTTACCCCCCCCTACCCCCCCCCCCCCTTACCCCCCCCCCCGGGTCCCGCGACAGGCGGAGGAGGAGCGGGCGGCCGCCGTGGCGAAGGGGTGGGAGGCGGCGATGACGGAGGAGGAGAGGGCGGCGTGGCACGATCCCTTCGTTGAGGCGCACACCCCGCCCGACCCCTCCCGTGACCCACCTCGGAAGCTGCCGACAGGTACGAGCCGTTCTTCGAGACGCACGCCACGCCGCCCTCCGACGAGCCGCCGCCGCTGCCCCCGCCGCTCGCCTCGCAGCTGACGACAGACGAGCACCTCGCGGAGGCGAGACGCAGCCGAGATGCAGCCGAGACGCAGCCGAGACGCAGCCGAGATGCAGCCGAGATGCAGCCGAGCCGAGGTGCAGCCGAGATGCAGCCGAGCCGAGGTGCAGCCGAGATGTGGAGCACCTCGCTGAGGCGGCTCGGTATATGCGGAGGGACGGGGCGGAGGGGCGTGCCCCAGGCACGTCCGCCACTTGCCGTCGCTTGCCCTGCAGGCACTCGCTTCGGTGGCGGCGTGCGCCCTCGGGGGAGTTGTGTGGGGCGCGCTGCGAGGCCCGACCTGCGGGAGGGGAGGCGCCGTCCCTGCGCCGGCCCTGAGCCTTCTCGCAGCCTTCCCGTGTAGGCCTTGCCCGCCGGAGGGGGGTGCTGCGCGCTGTCGGGACCACCGCAGCGGGCGCGGGGCTCTTCGAGGTTGGCCGCCCAGAGCCACTGGGCTCAAGCACGGCTCGCGACTCCTCTCCCCGAGCCGTCTCCACACCCTCCCTCCAGGCGGCGATGCAGCTCAAGCTCAGCTTGCGAGGCAGGCTCGAGGGGGACGGCGCCGACGCCGACGGCGGGGGCAACTTCGGCGGCGGCCGCGCAAACTACAGCACGCCCGTGCGGCTGGCTGCGGCGACGGCGGCGGACGTGCTGGTGTCGGCGCAGGTGCTGTGGCTGCTGCTCGCGCGCCTGAGGGCGCCCTTCGCCTTTGGCGGCTGGGCGCTGGGCCGGGCCGTCGTGCTCGCCAGCGACCTGATCGACGTCGAGCTCGAGTTTATGGACTGACGTGGCGCGGAGGCGCGGAGGCCGGTGGGGCGGCCGGGCCTGCGTTGCGTGTGTGCGCGCGGCAGAGCTCTGGTCGTGCCTGATGGGATTGGTTGTGGGAGGGGCGTGCGGTCCACCAAGCGGTTTGGTCGGGCTTCGGGTGTCTCTGACAGCGGCTAGTGTGTGCCCTTATTATGCGCATGGTGCGGGTGGGGTCGGCGGGGTCACAGCGGGTGGGGTGTGTCGTGTGAGCCGGAACTTGGTTTGCTTGGGGAGCACTTTGGAGCATTGGACTGCAGTTGGTAACCTCACATCCACTATCCATTCTGAAATTCATCCAGTGGATGGATCGGATGTCCGCGGATCCAGGCCGGGGCCGCGGGGGGCCGGGGGGGGGGAGCTAGAAGTCCAGACACACCGCTAAGAGCGAAAAGCGCGGCCGGAATAAACAATAAAGCGCACCACCACCAGCGGTCGGCGCTCGGGGGCGCCGCGGACACGCCGCGGAGATGCTCGATCGCGGGGACGGGCTACGAGGAAAAGACTAAACACCCTTACACAGGGGGTTGCGCGTCCGCGGGGCGGGCCGCCGGGGGCCAAATATAGGTAGGAGGAAATCGAATGGAGAGAGAGATTTTAGAAAACCAACAAGAAATCACGTCTCTCACAGTGAAATGGACCGGATATCGAGATTATTGATTTTGTTTTGTTGATATCGATGCGAAAAAACTTTAAGGTGCCTCATGCCAGTTTCGGGAGGCAAACCCTGCCCGGCCCCTAGGACCCCGGGTAAGGCCCAGGTGTGGCCTAGGGCATCAGAAGGGACCAAGAGGAGTCCAGTCTGAGCCATAGAGCCCATGTCTTTGCCCCCGAAGGTCGCGTTCAAATGCCCGGAACGGACGTTACAGTGGTGTCCGGCCGGCGCGATCACCGAGCTGTGACGCTCAGGGAAGCCGGTTGAGGTACTGGTTTCTTTGCCCAGGCCTGGCCTACGACCCGTGCTGGATCAGCTGAGCAAGGTTTGGGGAGAATCCTATAGACAGATCTTCAGATATTTTGACGGATGACCAAAATCACCCCGTTTTTGCCCATTTTCTGCAATGTCGCGGGCGTGTGAAAGCAAGCAAATCCTCGAGCAAGCAAATCCTCGATGATGCCTCTCCCTACCGAACGGAGGCTCATCATGGAGGCGGACCGGAGATGGCACATAGCACATACCATACCAAAAACGAGTGCAACCCCAGTCCCCGCACGTGCACGTCCCACGGATGGCACCCGACAGGTGTCTTGGAGCTGCGGCCGGGGTGCGTCAGACGGCCTTCTTTTGCGGCCTAAAACTCTGCGGCCCTGTTGGAGGTCATTTGGAATACGTGGAATACGGATTCACACCCAGTAGGAAAGGGATAGGACCTTGCAGGCCCATCCGCAGCTCCGTAGCGCGTAGGCGTAGCTGCGGGGTGACCATTTGCATACATATACCAAACGATGGTAAATAAATAGATACTCAACACACCTGGAGCCTGGTGGGATTAGGGCAGCAACCCGACGGGCAGACCCCGCCCCGCTCGGAGGGCGTGCACCACACAGCAGATGGAAAGAAAGAATCTTACAACAAAACTCCCTCGCACGACACTGGGCACGGGACTGGCGCGCACTGGCACGAACACAGGTACAAGAAAGAAAGAAAAAGCCCAGTAAGATGGCAAAGAAAGGCTGTCGACTTTCTTTTTTGCCTGTGTTAGTGCCAGTGCGCGCCAGTCCCGTGCCCAGTGTAAAGAAAAGAAAGAAAGAAAACAGACAACCCAAGGGAGGGATGGGAGGACGGCACGCCGCCACCACACAGGGATTTTAAGGAGAGGTGTGTGATGCGCTAGCCGTCGCCCACCCTGGGGAGTCTGCCTCTTCCTAGTGTTGTGCGAGGGAGTCTGCCTGCTCGCGCAAATTCTTTTCACAAACCCATCACTGACGCACGAGGCTGACCGCCGCCAACACACTTCGGTGGACCTACCTGTCACTTCGGTGTATATGCTGGCCGCTCTGACGGCCGCCGCCTGCGGCTGGCCGCACTTTCTGCGTGCGGACAGCTGCAGAAAGGGGCTCGAGCTCTTGCACTCGGGGCAGGCAGACTCACCTCCCGTCATCATGAATGCTGTCCCGACGATGGACCCAGACATCCTCCGCGTCGTCAACTCCAGCGGCGGTGCGGTGGTGCACGGGGACAGCGTGCCTCTCGGCGCGCCGCTCACGCTCGTCCACAGGGGCACCAAGGATCCGCATGGCTCGCAGACCGTCTTCATCACCTCTGCGGGCCTCCTCGAGCAGAGTGAGCCGTGCGGCGAGGGCGGCGCCGCGATGGTTTGCACGACTTGCGGTGCGGGCTGGCTGCGGCAGGCGCAATGGACGCCCACCGCAACGGGAGCGGCGACGCTCGCCGTGGGCGCGGCCCGCACAGGGGCGTGCTTTGGCACCCCCGCAGTGACGATCGGCAGCTTGGTGGTTCGCGTGCGAACGGGCACTGAGCTGCTGCCGACGCCGCAGTTGCCGCCGCCGCCGCTTCGAACGATGCTTTGGAACTGGGGCGTCGGGGTGTCATCTGCAATGTCGCGGGCGTGTGAAAGCAGCGGGTTGACGGCTTCCTGTTCCTCTGGCTGGGCTGGCGCTGGGTAGAAACTACGTCTAGAATCTCTAGATCTCTCAGAGAAAATTCTTCTCGACGTCTCTCTCGTTAAAGGTCGTCTCTCACCGCCGTATCCGAGTTCACGAGCGAGTGTGTTTTCGTGCGTAGGGCCCTTAGGGGCCTAGAGAACACAACCCCCTCTCAAGTCGTGCGTACTGACGTACAAGCAGAGGGCTTTCTCCCTAAAACGCACTTGGGGTGGTCCTTGCGGTCACAAAGTCCTTCGTGTACGTGATGTTTTGCGAGACGTACCTCAGCAGCCACGCGATTGGGACAAATGAGAGGGGGCACGCGAGGAAGAAACCGAGCGCCTTGCGCTCGTACTCGCGCAAGTGCTTCGCCACGTGCTCCAGCAGCTGCTTTGCGTTGAAGGAGAGGCAGCCGGGGAACTTGTGCACCGAGTCGATGTCGGCCGTCCCGAGCACCTCCAGCTCAGGGTAGACGTGGAGACGGCGCCATGTCACGCGGATGATCCCTTCCACCAACAGCGAGCGCGCCACCTGCATGCTCACGTACACGAGGATCGCGAGCAGGATCTGCAGCACGAACCCGTGGAACAGCCACTCCGAGTGGCAGCCGCACCGGTTGGAAAACAGGCCGAGCACCTCGCGGTTCGGGCCCTCGCAGGTCACCTCGCAGGGAGGGAGCGCCTCGCACGAGAAGACGCCGTCCGGCAGCGTCGCGTTGACGTCCTGCAGGCACGGCGTGCCCGTGTCGAGCAGCTTTCGCAGCTCCGAGGCCGCTGCCGCCGCCGTCGTCGGCCCCAACGCCCGCGTCGCGCCCTCGATCAGCCGCCTCCTCCCCCCCCAGTCAAAGCCGGACGCCATGTCGGACAGGGTGCCGGCGTCGAGCCCGTTCTCGGCCAGGCTGTCCTTGATGGAGTCCAGGTCCGCGTCCGCAAACGCCTGCGAAGCGTTTGGCCACCCGCCGCTGGACATGTTGCCCCACCCCGCGAGCGGGTCGCCCGCGCAGATGTCGCCAAAGCAGGCGCCGTCGTCCGGCGTGCGGCTCAGTGCCTCGGCCGCCGCCATGGCGGCGTCAGCGGCGTCAGCGGCGGCGGCGGCTTTGGCGGCGGCCTCCGCCTCGCTCACGGCATGAGAGGCGACAGATAGGACGATTTCCGGGTCGCCTGCCGCCGTGGCGTCAAGGTCGAGGCACTTTTTGGCGAGGGCGATGCCGGCGCCGTCGAGGGCGTAGATCTTGGTGTCGGTGTCGTAGTGCTGTAATGCCGTGGTCTGGTGCTGCGCCGACGGCTGCAGGTACGTCGCGCATTCCCGGGAGCGCCGCTCGTTGTAGACCTGTAGCCCGGCCAACAGCGTCTTGTCACCGTCACCCGCTGCGTAGTTGTAGGCGGCGGAGAACAGGTTTTCGCAGACCCACGTGCCGTTGCGCGGGGGCTCTATGCAGCCCTCGACGTACGCGTAGAAGGAGAACATGTACACCTGGGTCATGGCATTGAGCACGAAGAGCATGAGGAAGCCCCCAAAGGCGGCGGCCGAGTACGGAGAGAGGATGTACGACATGCAGAGTCGGACGGGGCTGAACCGGGCGACAAAGGAGCAGAGGAGCTCGAGCATCGAGGCGGTGCCCGTGACCATCACGCCCTGCTGAAGCGTCGAACGGCGCATGTCGAGCGCAGGGATGGCCTCGGAGGAGCGGAACCAGTACTTGATGACCAGGCGCGTCGAGATGTAGACCCGCCACGCAACGTCGGCCCACACGGCCATGGTGAAGATATTGTCTATGCTGATCTTGAGTCCCATTATGTCCATTTCGAGCGCGTGGAATCCCTCCACCTTCCAGTCGAAATTCGACGAGTCGGTCATGTCCGACATCGACCAGTTGAAGATCCACGAGCCCGACGAGTTGTCGCCGACACCCATCATGTTGGCGGCGCCGCCGACGATGTTGTCAATGGCATCGGCCTGCTTGGCGAGGAAGTCCTTAGCCGCCTGGGCCATTTCCGCCGTCGCGTTACCAATGTTGAGCGGCGGTGGGTCGTAGCCGGGCAGAATCTCGAGGCCGGTGATTGGGTCGAGCGCGCCCCCTACGTCGGGAAGGTGGCCAGCGACGTCGGCGAGGTAGTCCTTCTGCTTCCTTGCCATCTCTGCCGACCACTCCGCAAAATCTTCGCTATAAATGTCTATATTCGGTATCGCGGGCATCTCAATGTCCAAGTCAGGCATGCTCAAGTCGAAGTCGGGCATCGATATAGTTCCGTCGACTGCAAGCAGGCCGTCCTGGATCGCCCCCATATGCTCCGTGATCCAGTCCTGCATGCCCTTTGCCCTTTTTGCATAAGCCACAAAGTCTCCCCTCATGGACTCCACGCCCATTTTCATCTGGTGCATCTGGTTTGTGAGTGAACGCATCTCGTCCAGAATGGGTACGTTGCAATTCGGGTCCCCGCCGCAGAAGGAGAGCGACATGTTGAGCATGTCCAGCGCGTCCTGGATCTTGCCAACCTCGTCCGCAACGCCGGACTTGGCCGCGCCGGCGGCGTCGATGAAACCTTTGGAGGAGTTGTACATGTACTGGCTGTCGTACTCGGTCCGCGCCTGAGACAGCGACATAGATGCGTAGAGGCGTGGTGCGCTTGCGCATCAGGTCGGGTGCGGCTCGTCTCATTCGAGTGCGGCCCGCGCCTCGACGCGGTCCGTGAAGGAGTTGTGCGACGCCATGACCGAGTCGGCGTACGCCTGTGCCACTGCCATCGCCTCCTGCTTCTCGCGCGACGAGTCGCCGAGCAGATTGCGCGCGGACTCCACCTAATGCCAGCGACGCGCCTTGCTTGCCCAGGGGGGGTCAGCGGCGTGCGTGTGCGCCCGAGGCCCCAAACCTCAGACGGCGTGCAGGTGTCGTTACTCCATACCAGCACGCCGCGCCTAGGTTCGAATTGCTCTCTGCGGTGTCCACGCGCACGAAGCCAGGGTCGAGACGCAGCGCGTGTCCGCGGCGCCTGCCAACCATCTCGAGCGCGTTCATGATGCGCATGTGCGCTGCTGCGCACCGCTTCCCCAGCGTGTCCACGCGGTGCAGCATCCGATCGATGAGATCACTCGCCGCCGTCGACCGCGCAACCTCGTCGCCGGTAGCGGCTCCGAGTGCGGCATCACACTGCCCCATCTGAGGAGGTCAGGGGAGTCTGTCGCGTGGCTGGGACAAGATGGCGTCTGAAAAGGAGGGGTACACGATATGGGTCCGGGTCCGCGCGTCTCAGCGCGCGCCTGCACGCTCGTGCATATCGTGTGCCCCTCCTTTTCGGACGTCATCTTGTCCCAGCCACGCATGCACTCGAACCTCACGACTGAAAAGGGAGGCGAGGTTATGGCCGACTGGACGACGAAGCGGGCGACGCCGAGAGATGACATCCATACGAGCGAGATAGCGATGGTGCAGAGCATCACCTTGGAGAAGCAGGCGTCCGCCTGGCGTTTGAGGTGTTCTTTCGTGTCGGTCGGTCGCGCCGACGCGTCGCGGGAGTCGGGACAGTGCTCTTCCAGAGTCTCCTGAAAGGAGCTGGTTTTGATCTGTTTGGGCGCGTTGCCCACGGTTGTCGCCTTTTTGAACCCCGGGAGAGGATCCGACGGGAGGCCGTGGTCCTCGTCTGCGGCGTCATCCACGGCGACGGTCTTGATGCGCTTCATGGACTTTCGCTGCGCGCCGTGACAGTAACTTTTGCTGCTCATTCTCAAGTAAACTCCGATTACTAAAAGAAGCGCGTAAATTAAAAAAAAATCAAACTCTTTCGCACGATACTGGGCACGGGACTGGCAAGCGGCGGGCGCCGAGAGCATGCCGCGGCGGACACTCCGCTCCAAGCAGGGCCATCACGCGCTCAATCAAGCCGATCCAGCCGTTCACGCATGGGTGGGCATATCGTCCGTCGTGTGAGACGAACGAGGGAGGGGGCGGCCTTCTTGCCGCCACTGGGCCTTCCTTCGCTGCCACGGTCGCTCGCTCAAGCGGATACGATCCGCCGGATTCGCTGACCAAAATGCGGGCGATGCGCTGGCGAAAGTTTGGGAGACAGCGGGCGGTGGTGCGATAATCGACCGCACTTTGAAGATTGGTTTTTAGTGTTCTGCCGCCACCCTGTCCACCTCCCCCTCACCGCCGCCGCCCTCACGGGGCCGACCGCCGGCGGTACCGGTAGCATGGCGATGCGGAATGGCGTGGGGCGAGGAGGCGCGGTTCCGGTTGCCCTTATAGTTTTCGACTGCGTCGTCCGTCGAGAGGCGACTGCGCAACAAGAGCACCGAGCCACAATCCCACAAACTACACCCACTGACGTGTGACGACTGAGTGGCGGGTCAACGAGAGACGAGAGAGAACCTACAGTCTAGCTAGAAGCTACCGACATGCTCCGGGCGCCATTGCGCACGCAAGACTAGCACCCCCCCGCCGCTGCGGCCCTGCCCCAAGCCGTCCTCGAGGCGCCTCCCCCGCCTCCCCTAGCTCCTCCCTTGCTAGATCCCTTGCGGAGGCGCCGGATCCCCTCGCGCGGGTCGACGCCCCCCTTGCGGCGCGGCAGCAGGTCGATCACGACGGGCAGCTGCACCTGAGGCGACCGCGGGCGGGGCGTGGGCGGGGCGTGGGCGGGGCGTGGGCGGGGCGTGGGCGGGGCGTGGGCGGGGCGTGGGCGGGGCGTGGGCGGGGCGCGGGCGGGGCGTGGGCGGGGCGTGGGCGGGGGGGAGAGGAGAGGGGGGGGAGAGGGGGGGGGCGGCGGCGCACCGGCTGGTACTTTGCGTTGCAGATGGCCGCGTTGACGTGCACGCCGCGCCGCACCCGCCTCGGCGGTGCCGACTCCCCAGGCACCGCCTCCCCGCCCGCCGCCTCGTCCGCCTGCTGCATCGCAAACTCCTCCGAGCGTGCTCGCCGCCGGCCGCTGCGCCCCGCCCCCGCGGTGCTGCTGCCCCGCTGGGCGTGTGGTCCGCACGCCCCCTCGTGCGACCCCTCCACCTGCTGGTGCTCCACCTGCTGCTGCTCCACCTGCTGGTGAAGGAGCTGCTGCTGCTGCTGCTGCTGCTGCTGCTGCTGCTGCTGCTGCCGGTGCAGCGCCGCCTCGTCGGCGTGCAAGCGGCGCCAGCGGTGTGGCCGGCCGGCGGAGGGGGGGGTGTGGTCCGGGAGGGGCCACTCGAGAAGGGAGGCGCCTGCGGGGGGGAGAGAGCCGAGGTAGAAGAAAAGGGGGAGAGAAGGCGAGAGAGGGGCTATGTCTCTCGACACATCTCTCGACACATCTCTCGGCTGCATCTCGGCTGCATCTCGGCTGCGTCTCAGCTGCATCTCGGCTGCATCTCGGCTGCAGCTCGCCGTGCAGCTCGTGGTCGTGGCCGCAGGCGTGCAGCAGCGGCTGGATCCGGTTGACCGCGTCTCGGAGGGGGGCAGAGCCGTGCGAGCCGTGCGTGAGAAGCACCTGTTCACAGCCCGTCTCTCGTCTGCATCGAGGCGTCTGTCTTTGCGCCGTGTGCGGGGCGCAGGCGAGGGGGCACGTCGACGTCGCGCGGAATGTACCTGCGCCGGGGCGGTGGCGGGAGGGTGGGTTCGGGTACCGTGGGGTAGGGGAATGTACCTGCGGAGGGGCGGTGGCGGTGGCGGTGGCGGTGGCGGTGGCGGTGGCGGTGGCGGTGGCGGTGGCGGTGGCGGCGAGGCGTGGGCGGCGGGAGGGGGAGGAGCAGGCTAGAGGAGCCAGAGGAGCAGAGAGGGGCAGCGTGGGCGAGGTGAGCAGAGCCGGCGGCACCTCATCACGCCATATCTCCCCGCATCTCCCCTAGGGTGAGCAGAGCCGGCGGCACCTCATCACGCCGCGCTGGCGCGACTCCGAGTACTGGAAGGCGCGGTTGGAGGAGCGGGAGCCCTTGTGGCGCGGCGAGAAGGGGGAGCCCCAGAAGTGGAGCCCGCACACGTGCACGCCCTCGTTCTCCAGGTACGTCGCCGCCGAGAGCAGCCGCTTCGCCTCCTCGCGCCCCAGCCGCTCGAGGTGCCGGTCGTGGTTGCCGGCGATCACGAGCTTGTGCGGGTGGGGAAGCGAGGCGAGGAGTGAGTTGAACTCGCCGAGCACGGCGACCCCGCCGCGCGCGCAGAAGGAGATGTCACCCGTGTGGCACAGCACGTCGCCCGGAGGCACCGTGATGGACGAGAGCTGCTGGTGCGTGTCAGAGAGCAGCACGACGCGCACTCGCCGCCCGCTCGGCGGAGGCAGCTCGTCGATGCGCAGCTCGTTGGCCTGACGCGCCGGACCGACGTACAGGCACCGGGCCGCGCTGCTCGCGTCGCCCTGCGCCGAACGCTCCTGCTGCTCACGCATCGCGAGATAGACGCCGCAACGCGGCCGGCTGTGTAACGGCGCACGCCCAGGTGTGCTGCTCCATCCAAAAGCTGACGACCAGCCCGCGGCGGGCGCAACGAGGAGAAAGCATGCTGCCCGCGGTAGCCACGGTCGAGACTTCATGCTGCCCCGGGCCAAGATCCTCCTACTCGCGGGGCTGGGATAGGGGTGTTGAGAGGCACCTTCCCGCTGTGAAAGCGTAGGGCCGTGGCTACAGCTCAAAGCCACAGCTCGGCTGGTTGGAGAAAAACAGCACCTGACCGCGCGGCGGCGTCGGCGTCGGCGGCGTCGGCGGTGTCGGCGTCGGCGTCGTCGGCGGCGGCGGCGTGGGCGGCGGCGGCGTCGGCGGCGGCGGCCGCGGCCGCGGCGGCGGCGCGGCGAAAGAAGATGAAATCGCGGCTTAGCCAGCAGACCAAGTTGTCGGAGCACTCCTGATGCTCCATCTCCTCTGTCTCCCGCGCCTCCCGCACGGCGACCAATGCCTCCCAGCAGCGTCGGCGACCTCTCCCTGGAGCTGCTCCGCCTGTCGCTGAGCCAGCGGCAGGCGAAGCGGCGGCTGATCGACGGCGTCGCAGAGCGGCTGCAGCTCGAGCGGCGCCCTCTCATCCTCGGCGAGCTGCTCTTCCGCCTGCTCGAGCCAGACACGGCCGCGGCGGCGGCACTCGGCGTGCTGCTCCTCGTCGTCGCGGTCACCGGCCTCGCCCTGCCGTGGGATGGCCTGCTCGGCGGCCTGCTGCTCGCGCTCGCGGTGGCCAACGCCTGGATCTCCTCGCGTGAGTCTCGGCTCGCGGCGGGCGAGCTGAAGAGCCGGCTGCAGGTGTGGCTCCGCCTCATCTCGCGCGACCACCACATCCACCGCGCCGCCGCCGACGGCCCGGCCACCGTGGCGCTCATGCGGGACGGCGTCTGGCTGCGGCTTCACCGCAACCTCTGTGTCGAGGGAGACCTAATCAAGCTGTCCGCCGGCGAGGAGGCGCCGGGCGCGTGCGCGCAGCGGCCGCACCTGACGTCGCTCTGCGGCCTGGAGGCGCAGGCCCTCGAGGCGGGCGCGCCCTTCTTCCCGGCGCCACTGCCGCCCCTCCCTCGCGGCATCTGCCCACCTCGCTCGACGACGCGCCAAGCTCCAGCCCCAGCCCCGACCCTCAACCAACACTCTAGGCGTCTCCAGCTCGCTGACCGACGACGTGCGCTGCTCCTTTGTCCTCTCCGAGACGATCGCCGTGCGGCAGATCGACGGAGCGATGCGTTCGCGCCGGAAGCCGCCGCCGCCGCTGCAGGTCCAGCTCGACGCCGCCCGGATTTCTTTTTTGCCCGTCAGAGCTGTCTGGTTGACTGCAGGTTCAGCTCGCGGGCGCGCGGCGGCTGATGCTGTGGGCGGTGGCTGGTTCCTGGGCCCAGGCCGCGGCGCTGCAGGCGCTGCAGTAGCAGGGGCAGCAGTGCGGCAGCAGCAGCAGCAGTGTGGCAGCAGCAGCAGCAGCGTGCCGAGCCTGACCCTAGGCCTTGCACGCGCCTCCTCCCAGGCGCTCGGCTATGGCCTCTCCTCGCCCCCTCCCTCTCCGTCCGGCGAGCAAGGCTTCGAGTTGCGGGAGTGGCTCGGAGGCTTCCTGCTGCCGCACCTCGCCGCGCTCGCCCTGCCTCTGCTCCCGCTCGCCCTTCCCGCCTTCATCGCGGCTGCCAACGCCCTCTGCGCCGCCTACCTCCTCGCCTCCCTCTCGGGCATGCCTCTCCACTCTCTGAGGCACACCCCGGGCCCAGCTCAGAGAGTATAGCTGCCCGGGCCGCGAGCACGAGCGGGCAGCCGCGAGCGGCGTCTCTTCACACCTGCCTCTTCACACCTGCCTCTTCACACCTGCCTCTTCACACCTGCCTCTTCACACCTGCCTCTTCACACCTGCCTCTTCACACCTGCCTCTTCACACCTGCCTCTTCACACCTGCCTCTTCACACCTGCCGGCTGTGATGCAGGCCGGCCAGCCCGAGGGCGAGCCGCCAGCGGAGGGCGGACGGATGGGGCGCTAGCAAGGCGGACGCGGCTCTCCCCCGCCTCGGGGGCTGGGGCGGCGGCGGCGGCAGCTGGCTCGGCCGCTCGGCCGCGCGTCGGTACTGGGGCTTATCCGGAGGCACTCCCAGCCACGCGGAGAGCGAAGGCGCAGCTTCGTCTGCGTGCCGCATCGCTCGCCGAGGGCCGGAGAGGCTCTTCTCGCACGGCGCGAGAGGAGGCGCGTCCGGGCTGCAGAGAGAAGAGAGGCCGGACGGGAGGAGGGCGCGGAGTAGGTGCGCCGAATACGCTGCCCGGCTCGCGCTTCGTGCGGCACGCGGGCAGCAGGCAGAGCTGCGAGCAGCGGGGCCGCTTCGCCATGAGCTCGTTGTGACCCAACGTCGTTGGTGAGTCCTTCGCCAGGCAGAGCTACGAGCAGTGGCTGTACGTGCTGCTGTGAACAGCGTCTCTTCACACCTACTGCTGTGAACAGGCAGAGCTACGAGCAGTGGCTGTACGTGCTGCTGTGAACAGCGTCTCTTCACAACTACTGCTGTGAACAGGCAGAGCTACGAGCAGTGGCTGTACGTGCTGCTGTGAACAGCGTCTCTTCACACCTACTGCTGTGAACAGGCAGAGCTACGAGCAGTGGCTGTACGTGCTGCAGCTCGCGCTCCGCATACTGCGCGGCGAGCCGCAGGTCTTTCATCATTATTATTAGTGGTGGATGAAATGAATGATTGAACATCCGCGTCCTGCGCGGCTCGCCGCAGCCGGGCCAGGTGCGCCCGTCGCGGCTGCTCGCGTCGCTCGGCTCCGTGACGGTCCTCGCGGTGCCCGACAAGCGAGGCGTGCTTTCCTAGACGTTCGTGCTCGACTCTTGCTCGACACTGCCTCGACACTGCCTAGACACCTCCTCGCGGTGCACAAGGCATCCTCTCGGACGGGGTCTCTCTCTCCCTCGGCCCTCAATCCACCTCGCCTCCAGCAGGAAGGAGGACCTCCGCGGAGAAAAGAGGAGGAGGGGTGGCGAGGGTGGGCGGCGGGAGGAGGGTCCCTGCACCGCAGGCGTCCTCTCGGACGGCACCCTCTCCATCAAGCAGCTCGCCTTCTTCCGGCTCGACCACTCGGGCCAGCCCAAGCTGACCACGCTCGACATGTCCAAGCACCCCGCCTACCGCTTCCTCACCCGCTTCGACGACCCCGGCTGGCGAGGCCACCTCGCCGCTCTCAAGCCAATCGGGCTCAACGCGGTGCTCCGCTCGACGTGCCGCCGCCGATGGGCCAGTAGCTCATGCATGAGCACCCCCCCCATAGGTGCTCAACTCGATGTGCCGCCACTCCGACGGGGGGGCCGCCGTCGGCGACACGCTGCGCTCCCGCCTCCTCCACTCGCACCACCCCTCCCACCCCCTCTCCTCCGAGCTCCGCCCGCCGCCCGGCGAGCGGTGGCCGTCCGCCGCGCGCCTCGAGGCGCCGCTCCACCCCTGCCTCTGCCTCCTCGCCCGCGCCATCGGCTTCTCCGACGACGTCCTCCGCCGCTACTCGCGCCGCGCCGAGATCCACCTCGTCGGCAGCCCCGCTCCGCCCGCAGAGGCGGCCGTAGCGCCGGGCCTCTGGGCGGCGGGCAGCGCGCCGCAGGGGCGGGCCGGCCGCGAGGCTGGCTTCTAGCTGCGCCCCTCCGGTCTGAGTGTGGCCCGTCGTGTTGAGGAGACTGGAGGATGTTAGGCGGGCTTCCAGCTCCCGCTGCTGGTCGCGGTTGTTGTGGAGGACGAGGGCGGGTCGCTGCAGGTCTTGTCGCCGGGGGTGGCATGGACCTACTCGATCAGTCTTACCGCGTCACGTCACGAGCCGCAGGTCTTCTCGCGCGGCCCGCCGGGGATGGTCCTCTCGCGCTGCTCGTCGCTCTGGGACGGCGACTCGATCCGGCCGCTCGAAGAGGAGGAGCGTCCAACCCCAAGACATGCCCCAGACGCCTCCCCCCAAGACACGCCCCAGACGCCCCCCCGGACTCGACTCGAGGCGGAGCGGCAGCTGCTCGCGCGGCCTCGCCCCCGACCCCTCCTCGCAAGCCGCCTGCGCAGGAGCGGCGGCAGCTCCTCGGCTGCAACGCGTCGATGGCGGGCAACCGCTGCCTGGAGTGCTTCGCCTTCTCGTACTCGCCCGTGCCGGAGGAGACCCCCCCCCCCCTCCCAGGGCGTCGCGCCCCCGAGACGCGTCCCGACGGAGGGTCCCGCGCGCCGCAGGAGCTCAAGTGGCTCTTCTCCGGAGACGAGTCGCTGCAGACCATCGTGCTGCACGATTCGCCCGCCGAGCCGCCGCCGCGCAGCTCCCGCGACCGCGCGGGCCTCTACGCGGGCGGCGGCTGCCGCGCCTCCGAGCCGGCCGCCGCTCCGCCCGAGTCGATCACACCGAGCCAGCTCTGACTCCGGAGGATTGACTCCTCAACAGGACCTCTCCGCGCCGGAGTCGGGCCGCGAGGCGGGAGGCCGCGCGGGAGGCACCTTCGGCATGCCTCGCTCCTTCGGCATGCCTCGCTCCGCCTCGGCACCGCCAACTCGCGCAGCTGCTGCTCGAGCAGCAGCACAGGTCGAGGCCACGTCCGTGACACGTCCCTCGCACGTCCCCGCAGGACCACCACCTCGAGCAGCAGCACCTCGACGGCCTCCGCGCCGGCGCCACGCCCCCCCTCTGCCAGGAGCCTCTGTGCCAGGAGCCTCTCCGCCAGGAGCGAGACGGCGCGCCGGCGGGTTTGTGCGCGGCGGCGAGCTCTCCTCCCGCCGCGAGCTCTCCTCCCGCCGCGAGGTGCCGCAGCCGATTTCGTGGAGTCGTTGCGGCGAGAGCACCCGAGGTCACCCGAGGCCACCCGAGGCCACCCGAGAGTAGGCCGCGCAGCTTCTCTGGTGGGGGCGTCCCCGCGGCGGCGCGCGAGTCGGGACGAGGCCTACTCGAGAGGACGCGCGAGGTGAGTGGGAGATCGCTCGAGGTCTAGGCGCTCGAGTCGGACGACGAGCCCTCGAGTCTCCCGCCCACCCCCGTGGGCAGCGGCACTCCGCGTGGAGGCACGCCGCAGGGAGCCCGCCCGCCGCACGCGCTACAAGAAGGGGGCATCAGCCTAGCTGCAATCGCATCGTCTTGTGCTAGGAGCGAGCCCGCCCGCCGCACGCGCCGGCGCTTGCTGCGCCGCGTGCCGCCCGCCGCGCCCTCCGCTCGCGAAGTCGGTCGGTTCCTCCACTCCGACGCAGAGCCGGCTCAACTCCCGTTAATGAACAGTTAATTAACTACCCCGAGGTATTCAGTAACTGTTACTTAACAGGCTCAACTCCCTCCTCGCGTGCGGCGCTTGTGTCTCGCCCGCCGGAGGCGGAGGCGGGAGCGGGAGCGGGGACGGTGGCAACGGGGTCGGCGGGGGCGGGGGCGGCGCCGCGGGGGAGGGGTGGGGGTTTGGGCGCAAGCACAGCACCGCGGTGCGGCACAACGCCTTTCGGCGGCTGCTCGAGAAGCACATCTTCTGCGGCATGGCGGGCGCAGTGGACCGCGCACGCGTCGAGGCGCGCGACGCTGGGCGGAGGAGGACCTCTTCGCCTCGACCCCGTCACACCCCAACCCTCGAGCGCACCAGGCGTCCGACGTCGTGGAGGACCTCTTCAACGCGGGCGTCCGGTTCGCCCACTTGTCGCGCGACAACGAGCGGCGGACGAAGGCGTTCGGGCACGAGCTCGGCCTCGAGACGGACTGGAACTCGTGCATCGACCTCAACGAGCAGTCGGCGGCCTTTTCGACGCAGTCGTCGCCCATGCTCGGCGGCGGCGGGGTCACCAAGCTGCCGCGAGGCATCGGCGCGGTGCGGCCGCACTTGCGCGACGTCGACAACGTGCCGCTGCTCGTCTCGATGTTTTGCAACTGCCAGCCCCGCACGGTGCGCGAGATGATCCAAATCTACCAGGAGAACTGCGAGCTCGTCTGCGTCGTCGGCTCGTGCGGCGCGCCGCTCTCCGCCTCCGTTTTCGCGCAGGCAGACAAGTCACTTCCGAGACACTTCTGAGACACGTCCGAGACACTTCCGAGACACTCCGCCTCCGTCTTTGCGCAGGCGGACATCTCCTCACATCTCCCATATCTCCCCACATCTCCCCATGCCTCCGTCTTCGCGCAGGCGGACGTCGCGGTGTCCGTCCGCCCCCTCGCCCCCGCCTGCCTCTGGATTGGCCGGCTGCCGCCTCGCGCCCCGCCACCCTCCACGCGCCTCTTCGCGACGCGTCTGCTCAACCTTCCCCGAATAGGCCTCGAGCCTCCCCGCGCCGCGTCGCGCCGCCGCGCCACCCCGCACCTCGAGACGCCGAAGGCGCCGCGCCGAGCGCGGTACGTCGAGGCGGCCGCCGCCGGCGCCGGGCCTGCCGGCGGGTGGGGCGAGTCCGAGCTCGGCGCGGCGGAGATGCTCGACTCCGCCTGCTGCGTTGCGGTGCTGCCCGACGGGCATGACCTCGAGCAGCTGACCGAGTGGCTGCTGCAGGGCCGCTCCTTCCTCTCGAACACGCGGCAGGCGGTCTTCTTCGGCGGCTTCGCCTCCATCGTGCTCGAGCTCCTGCTGATCGTCGCCGATTGGACGCGCTTGCCGCCGCCGCAGACGCCGTTCCAGCTGCTGTGGGTGCTGCTGGTCCTGGTGCCGCTCCTCGCCTTCCCGCTTGTGCTCGGCCCGGTCGACCCGCGCAACAAGAAGGAGATGGTGTCGAAGAACGAGGACCACCTCGCAAACGCGCCCTCCGCCGCCCTCTACCTCGTCCTCCGCGCGCTGCCCGGCGCCGCCGGCCTCTGCCTCCTCTTCGCCGTGTTCCTGGACGTCGCCGGCGACGCCGCCGCCGCGCCGCCGCCGCCGCCGCCGCCCACGGAGATGCTCTGGCTGTCCGTGCTGTACGTCGGGGAGGACCAGTCTGCGGTGCCGGTCGCTGAGGCGGCGAGGCTACCGGGCAGCTTGGTCGAGCGGGCGGGGGCGGAGCCGCGCGAGGCGCTCGCCCTTGCGCACGCGCAGCTGCTCACGCAGTGGTGGGCCACGCTGCTGCTCGCGGCGCACTCGGCCTCCTTCGCCCACCGCACGCTCAACGACTCGCAGTACTCGCCCTTTGCCAACCGGCTGTGGGTGCGCGCGGCGGCGCTCGCCTTTGGGCTCGAGAGCGTCGCCGTCTTTGTGCAGCTCGGCCCGGCGCGCATCCCGGCAATCCTCGGCCAGATCCCGTGGTATGGGCACTTGGTGGGGGTGGGGATGATGCTGCTCGCAGGCATCGTAGACTGGATCGTCAAGCGGCACGATCGGCGCGCCTTCGAGAGGACCAACAAGGGCATGTACCTCGAGTTCACCACCAAGCTCGGCATGCACTCGCCCATCGAGCCGGGCCACCTGGCGCCCACCTCCTACCTGGACGAGTGAGGCTGAGGGCACTCTGCCGTGGCCATCTGCAGCCAGCCGATCTGGCACCCGGCCGGTGTTTCATCGCCCCCCCCCCCCCCCTGCACCGGGCACACCGGCGGGCCGTGCAGAGGTCGGCTGTGTTTCGCACACCGGCGTGTGGAGCGAGGTCAGCTCAACAGCTGCTCCTCGAGAGCTGCTCGGCATTGGCCACTGCGTGTACGTGCGCTACGTCCCTTACGAGTGAGATCATGTCCGTGCGGTCGAGATGACGCGCGTCGGTATAGTAACTGACTCCACTCTCTAGTCTCTACGACAACGCAGAGAAGAGCTTTCACGTTTCAGCAGCGCACGGCGCTTTCCCCGCCCTTTCCTTCACACGTCGATACGGCTTTCTCCGAGATTGCAGATTCGCGCCCCCCGCGGCGCGCGGGCGTCTCGACTCGATTAACGCGTGTGCAAACTTTTTCACGAAGTTCGTAGCTGCTTAAACAGTCGGCACACTCAACCCCTCTCTCTCCTCAAGCCTACCAAAATTTTGAGCGCCCCGGCCTGCGCGCAAAGCTGCTGCTGATTCTAACTAATCCACCTCCTCGATGTTGGGGCCGCCAGCGCCAGGCGGCGCGCCGCCTGGCATGCCACCGGGCATGCCGCCGGGCATGCCACCCATGCCGCCGCCCGCGCCCTGCGAGTACATCGCCTGCATGATGGGCGAGCAGATGCCCTCGACCTCCTTCTGCTTGTGCGAGAACTCCTCCTTCTCGGCGAGCTGGTTGCCCTCGAGCCACTTGAGCGCCTCCTCGACGGCGTCGAGGCCCTTCTTCTTGTCATCCTCCGAGATCTTGTCCTTGACCTTGTCGTCCTCGAGCGTGTTCTTCATCGAGTAGCAGTAGTTCTCGAGCCCGTTCTTCGCCTCCACCTTCTCCTTGAACTCCTCGTCCTCCTTTGCGTACTTCTCCGCGTCGGCCGTCATCTTCTCGACGTCCTCCTTGGAGAGGCGCGACTTGTCGTTGGTGATGGTGATCTTGTTCTCCTTGCCGGTCGACTTCTCGAGCGCCGACACGTTCAGCATGCCGTTCGCGTCAATGTCGAAGGTCACGTCGATCTGCGGCACGCCGCGCGGCATCGGCGGGATGCCCGACAGGTTGAACTCGCCCAGCTTGTTGTTGTCCTTGGTGCGCGAGCGCTCGCCCTCGAAAACCTGGATGGTGACGGCGGGCTGGTTGTCCGAGTAGGTGGAGAAGGTCTGCGACTTCTTCGTCGGCACGGTCGTGTTGCGCGGGATGAGCACCGTCATCACCTCGCCCGCCGTCTCGAGGCCGAGCGAGAGCGGCGTCACGTCAAGCAGCAGCAGGTCCTCCGTCTTTGCCGAGCCAGTGCCAGAGAGGATGGCAGCCTGCACGGCGGCGCCGTACGCGACCGCCTCGTCGGGGTTGATCGACTTGGACGGCTCCTTGCCGTTGAAGAAGTCGGTGAGGAGCGAGACGACCTTGGGGATGCGAGTCGAGCCGCCCACCAGGACGACGTCGTGCACCTGGCCCTTGGACATCTTCGAGTCGCGGAGGCACTTTTCGACGGGCTCCATGGTGGAGCGGAAGAGGTCCATGCAAAGCTCCTCGAAGCGCGCGCGCGTGATGGACGAGAAGAAGTCGATGCCCTCGAAGAGCGAGTCGATCTCGATGGAGGTCTGCGTCGATGACGAGAGCGTGCGCTTGGCGCGCTCGCAGGCGGTGCGGAGGCGGCGCATGGAGCGCGGGTTGCCGGTGAGGTCCTTCTTGTTCTTGCGCTTGAACTCCTGGACGAAGTGGTTCACCATGCGGTTGTCAAAGTCCTCGCCGCCCAGGTGGGTGTCGCCCGCGGTCGCCTTGACCTCAAAGATGCCCTCCTCAATGGTGAGGAGGGAGACGTCGAAGGTGCCGCCGCCGAGGTCGAAGATGAGGACGTTGCGCTCCGACGATGACTGCTTGTCGAGGCCGTACGCGATGGCCGCCGCGGTCGGCTCGTTGATGATGCGGAGCACGTTGAGGCCCGCGATGGACCCTGCGTCCTTGGTGGAGGCGCGCTGCGAGTCGTTGAAGTAGGCGGGGACGGTGACGACGGCATTCTTGATTTCGGAGCCGAGGAAGGACTCGGCCACCTCCTTCATCTTGACGAGCACCATCGACGAGATCTCCTCCGGAAAGAAGTCCTTTATCTCGCCCTTGTAGTCGACCTGGATGCACGGCCGGTCGCCGTCCTTCGCGATCACCTTGAAGGGGAAGTGCTTGAGGTCGGACTGGGTGGCGGAGTCGGAAAAGCGGCGGCCGATCAGGCGCTTGGCGTCGAAGACGGTGTTGCGCGGGTTCATCGCCGCCTGGTTCTTGGCCGCGTCGCCGATCATGCGCTCCGAGTCGGTGAAGGCGACGAACGAGGGCGTGGTCCGGTTGCCCTGGTCGTTCGCGATGATCTCGACGCGGTCGTTCTGCCAGATGCCGACGCACGAGTAGGTGGTGCCAAGATCAATGCCGATGGCGGGTCCCTCAACCTTGCTGTCCTTGCCCATTGTAGAACGTGCGGAGGTCGAAATGCGCGAGCGGGGCGTTGGCGGGGCCACGAGTGCAAGTCTGGAAGGATCCAGTTGCGGTCTGGAGTTTTATTTTTTTCGGGAAGAGAGGATTTGGGTTATTTGAGAGAAAAACTTATTTTGCCGGTGGGACAGGAATGCCGACACGCGAGACCCCCACAGCGTGTATATGCCGACAGAACCGCCCGCCACGACCGCGCAGCTCGCGCCCGTCTTCGCCCTGGTTGGCCTCATCAGTCTCGCAGCGGTGTTGCTGCGCCGCAAGTCGATACGTCAACATGGCATCTTCATTGATGCAGTCTCATCGCCCGTCTCGGCACCACCGTCGCCGCCGGAGCCAGACGAGGCCGGCGGCCCATCGGCGGTTGACGGGCCCATGTCGGTCACCACTGTTAGCTCCATGACCCGCAGCGACTCGATGAAGTCTCGGATCAAAGCCTACGACAGGAACGGCGACGGCCAGTTCGATTCCGGAGAGGTGGTGGATATGGTGGTGGACATCGACAGGTCGGAGAAGGAGAAGCGCGACCTCAAGGAGCAGCGCGATCGGCTCCGGAGGTGGCTGCTATGTGCGGCGGGCGTCATCGTGCTGCTAACCCTCTCCATGTTTGCGGTCAGCTGGGCCGCGTCCGAGCTCGTAAAGGAAACACACGCTGACAAGGCGGTGCTCACCGACCGTGACGGCTCCGTGCTGAACGTGGGCGCGGCGACGGCGACGATCCCACTCTACGCTTTGGCGGCGATGGAAATGGAGCTGGCGCGTCAACAAGCTCTCCGTCTCCTACATGGACGGGGGCGAGAGGGTGCGGCGCAACCTCCGCATCGTGTCTCAGGTCAAGCGGGGCAGCACGGTTGAGCTCCTGGATGCGCTGCGTGCCCGACAACGCGCTCGTATCCAGATGCTTTGTTTTCCGACTGGACGACGAAGCGCGAATGTTATCCAGCGTGGAACAACGCTGCAGCCACCGCATCCAAGGGCGACCAAACAAAGGCCCAGTGTCTTGCGAAATGCCAGGCATGGGACACCGGCGCCGGTGGGTGCTGCTGGTATCGCTCGAACAAGGACAAGTGCCGCTGGTATGATGCCAGCGACGGGAACATCCAGTATGCATATCGAAACGACGGTGACTCCAAGACGATTATGCTGGAAGGAACCAGCACGGCGACTGGCAGCTTCTCTTGGGGCCCAGAGGTTGAGTTTGATGCCGATGCGAACATGGCCCAAGGTGTGCGCGTTTTATCGGGTGTAGTTGCCGCGAAACACGGGTCACTCGCTTCCTTTTCCGAATGCAAGGAAGCGTGCCTCGGCGACAATCTTTTCGTGGCGGAATGGTTTGGCTTGCAAAAGTTGTGCAGATGCTACGGGTCTGCCGACGAAGTCACATTCGAAGGGTATGACTCGGTACTTGGAGGAATAGGATCAATGTTTGAAACAAGCATGCGTTGGAGGCGGTTTGGTTTCTACAGCGACGTGCCTGGGAGGACCACGTGGACGTACACAAACGGGGGGGGGGGGCAGAAGGGGGATCGGGGGTTCCGTTTTCTTGCTTGCGGCTTTTTGTTTCTCTTTTTGTCCCCGGCAGAGACGAGAGTCAAATGTACGTGTGTGCTTTTTTCTTTTCTTTTTCCTTCTGATGCCATGCGTGACCTAGGTAGTGTCCCCTGTAATGGGCGTGTCCCACGTTGGAGCCAGTGGGTGTGGGTGTGTGTGGGACGCGGGATAATAGCTCCGCCGTTCATGGAGGCAACCGATGCGAGTCGACTGGTGTAAGTGTCGTCGTGGTTTCGTATCAAGGATACTCACTCACACTCACACGAGAGTCAAACCTCTGAAAACCAACTTGGAGCACTTGGAGTGCAGTCGGCAGCCTCACATCCAGGGCCCGGGGAGAGCTAAGAAGCGCACCCACAATACCAAAAACGTATTTGTTTTTGTTAGAGTCACCGAGAGCGTAGGTACGCGTAGCGTACGCGTAGACCTTCCAATTGAATACCAACTTGGAACACTTGGAGTGCAGTCATTACCTCCAACCCCGCGCTAAATCCTCTTTTGTGTTACTCTGCTGGAGGAATGGTTGGGCAGGTTGTGAGGACGGATCTCCTGACAGTGGCACGCGCCGTTTGTTTGAAGTTAAAAGTCGAATCAGAGCGCCGTCGGCGCTGATCCTCGTTTTCCTCCCACGGACCGCCCGTCCGGGACCGCTCCGGGACGCACGCGAAGCCGACCATCAAGCTGCTGTACGGCCCCGGCATCGCCTCCCCTGGCTTAGCTAGATTGAGAGATATTGTGAACATGGTTGGTCTCTACAATATATACACTGACACTTTACCTCCCAGAGCTCGTCCCGGTCCGCCACGGCCATCCTCGGCCTCCGAAGGGCCCCCGGCCGCGGCGCGGTGCGGCGGCGTCACAAATCCGACGGCAGAGCACCGGGACGCGGTCGGGCGATCTGAGGTCCAACTAGGCGTATGGATTGCCCACCCAGGGCTATCACCTGGACCCATCAACAGGCGCCTCGGCGCCGTGGACAGGAGGTGTTGTTCACACCTGCCCAACCATTCATGCAGCAGGATACCAAAAGAGGTGGCGCCGCGAAGACGAATGCTTTGCGTTCTGTGCCTGCCCGGGCCAGGTACTCCCACGCCTCTCGGGGTTTTTTATCTGGCCGAGTCAACCCGAGACTGCGTCAGCTGTTCCCACAGCAGGCTGGAAGTACCTCGCCAGGCCTTGCCCGCTGGCACAGCGCCGTCTCCGAAGTGAATGGGTGGCTCGTGCTGCCGATGGGGTTTGGAGGTGAGCGCCACGTGACCACTGCCGCGTGGCACGGCGACAAAGTCCTCGGTGCGGCGGTCGCGCGAGAGCTGCAGGCGCAGTGCGTTGGTGGGCAGGACGAGCTCACGCGGCGCTTCTGCGCCGCCGTGAGCAACGAGCACATGGCGGCGCACCTAGACCAGCTGCTGCCACTGACGCTGCTCACGCTGCTGCCGCCAGCCGAGGAGCGAGCGGCGCAGGTGCACGACTGCGGTACGCTGCTCGAGGCTTGCGTGGAGCGGGTGCACCACTCGGGCGGCGCCGATGCCATCGAGGAGCTCGCTCGCTACCTCCTCGCCACCGCCACCGACACCGACGCCGACGCCAGCGAGGGCGAAGGCGGCGAGGCACGCGCGAGGAGGGAGGCGAACCCAAAGGGGAGGCTGCTCGAGCTCGGCGGCAGCGTGGGCCCGGCCGAGCAGGTCGGGGGCGCGTCCCACTCGCCGCTCTTCCGGGCGGCGGCCAGCCTGGGCGAGAGGCGCCTCACTGCGGAGGGAGGCAGCAAGAAGGCGGCCGAGAAGGCGGCGGCGGCAGCGCTCCTCGCCTCGGCAGGCGTACACGCGGCCGTCTTGCCCACACAGCGGCTGGACCTCGCTCGCACAGCGTCCGAGGCCGTCGGCAGCAGAGCGTCGGAGGCTGCGTCGGCTGGCCGGCCGCTGCGTTGGTCGGCGGTCGCCTTCCGTGAGGCGGACCTGGCGGCGGAGCTGAAGGACGGCGAGGACGGCGAGGCGTGGTTCCGGAGGAGGCCGACCCTACACCGGAGCGTGTGCGCGCCTCTCCTCTTCCCAGACGCGGTGCGAGCGGTGGACGCGTGGCAGGCGCGGCTAGACGACGGCGCGCTAGCGATGGTTCGTGTGCAGGCGGCGCGCGGCGGCGAGGGCGCCACGCGCGTGTTTGTGACGCCGGCACCCACATCGACCGGCAGCGCGGCGAGGCGGGCGGCAGGCGTGCTCGCGCACGCGCACATCACCGCCCTCCTCGACCTCCAGCTGAGTGGCAGTGCCGGAGACGAAGGCGAACCACACCACACGAAAGCAGCCCCCCGCGCACACTCGCGTGAGGAGGATCACAATGGCGGCAGCGGTGGGTAGTTTTCCGAAGTTCATTTTCTGTCAAATCCTGTCAACAACGTGTGTTGTGCCATTTAGGAATCCTAGTTGCCCAAAACGACGCGTTGACCGTTGTTCGAAGACGATTTTACTGACGTAATAAGAATATGTTCTCGCGCGCAAGTTTGAGCTTTGGACGCTCTGTGCCTGGTGCCTGGGTGCAAAGCCTAAGGTGACTGGCACTGGTTCTGGTGCGTCTCCTGCACTCCCTACCGCTCCTCGGCAGGCAAGCCATCCTCGTGTTCGGTCATCATGGGTGGGTGCTGCTGCAGCAAACCAGTAACGGACACAGCGGATTCGCGATTCCCCGCCCATTGGGGCCCGCCGCCAGAAAAGCAGCTAAAGGATCTCCGAGAGCTGCCCGGAGGGTACGGCCAAGGCTCCTCAACTCTAGCAACCTGGATCGCGACGCACATGGCTGCGGATGAGGCGTCAGGGACGAGTGGAGAGACTCCAGGCGTGTGCACCGAAAGCGATCTAGGATCGGACCCTGGCACAAAGTTGGAGCGAGCGCGGCAAGCCCGAAGGCACGAAAAGACACAGGCACAGGCACAGGCAGGCGGGACGAGCGGGGTGGACGGGGTGAGCGGGGCGGGTGGGACGAGCGGGCTGGGAGGGTCGGGACTGGCGGCCGGGGCCGCCACAACAGCCGCCGGAGCAGCACAGGCACAGGCAGGCGGGACGAGCGGGGTGGACGGGGTGAGCGGGGCGGGTGGGACGAGCGGGATGGGAGGGTCGGGACTGGCGGCCGGGGCCGCCACAACAGCCGCCGGAGCAGCAGCGGCTGGGGCGTCTGGGATGGGCGATGATGACGAGCCCATGACCGATGCGCGGCGCAAGGAGGAGGCGGCGTTCAAGCGGCAGCAGCGGGACGAGCTTGCGAAGCGGGCCTTCGATGCTATCACTGGCTCGACCGGCACGGCCACGCTTGCTGCCATCAAGAAGCAGATCGGGGCATTCGCGCCGAAAGACAAGTTCTCCGATTTCAACGTGAGCCATCGCGCAGTCCACTACACAGCGCTCCCCCTTTTTAACACTCACAGCTCACGCGCAGGCAACCTTCAACTACCTTAACAAGATGAACTCCGCAGGCAACCTCACTGCTGCCGAGTGGCTCCTTGGCGTGCGAGAGATGGGTGCCCCCGCCCACCAACGCAGAGCGGCCACAGTGGTGCTTCCCTCTCACAAGATGCCAACAACCCTCTCCGCACCACAGATGAAATGCCCGACGCGGTGCCGAGCTCGAGTTTTTGCTGCCACTCTCGGAGCTGGTGGCTGAGCTCGACGGCGCACCTCTGAGGATCGAGGAGCTTCCACCTCCTCCGCCTCCTCCGCCACCACCGCAGCCAACGACAATCGTGATGCCGCCCTACCCGCAGCCCGATAGTGAGGCCCTCACGCGAGCGGTGGCAAACGCCATGGCTGCAGCGGCAGAGGTGGCGGCTGGCAACAACGATGCCCTCCGCCGTGCAATTCGCGAACTGGGCGATCGGGTGGACGGAATCGGATCGCGGGTCGACGGGCTGAGCGGAGAGGCGCCGAGCGGTCCCGGGCATGCGTCACGAGTCTTGCAAGCCTTGATCCACCCTCCTATGCTCTAGGTGAAGAGCTGCCGGGCGGCGCTCGTCCTCTCGCAGGAGGAATCCGAGAGGCGCCTCAGTGCCGGGCAGCGAGAGGCGGCCGAAACGACGTGCGAGACTATGCTGAGCGGGGTGCAGCGCATGCTGGACGAGCTGCGGCGAGCGCTTGCGGCGGAGAAGCCACCGCAACCGCCACCCAAACCGAGCGTGGCGGACCGCGGCGTACAAGCGGGCGGGCGTGAGCGGGCGGTGCAGGTGCATTCGCAAGTTATGGCAGTTGGATGGCTCGATTGCACACATCTGTTCAGCTTGCGGTCTTGCTTGGAGCAGGCGGGTGGAGTCGACGATAGCACGCAGCACGACCCGCTCCTCGAGGACGGCGCCTGCCAGACGGACGCTCCGCCCTCGGCGCGGCCGCTGGTGGTGCCGCTCGCTCTGACGGTGCCAGCGTCGGGTGAGTGGCAGCTGTGGGGAGCAGCGCATCTGGTTCCCACTCTGACCCCCGCCGCGCACCCCGCGCAGTTTCGCGTGCGGTCTCGCCGCCACGGCCACGCAAGCCTGCGGACATCTACTGGTATCACCAGGTGCACTCGGCGCCGCCCGGTTCGGTCCAGGGGAGGTACGTGCGGCAGTGAGGGCGTGATGTGCAGACCTGCCTTCTGTTGGGGCCAAGTCGCGCGATCCATCGAGTCTCGAGGACGAGGTTACCGCCGGCGCCACCCACCCCCAATTCTGTCCCCTGTCGCCGCCGGCGCCGCGCGCGTAACGCGAAGCGCGACAGCGAGGGAGCGACCCCGCGAGGCTGGGAGAGTCGAGAGAAGAATTGTGCAACAGCGGATGTATCGAATAACTATTTAAAATAAATCTCGCGATGCTGGGTTAGTGTATTTCAGCCAACGCTACCTAATAAGCTCGAGGACGATACACCGCGAGACCTACCGCTACCCTCTCGAGCGCACCTCATCATCCGCCTCTGAGACAGTGTACCATCTGAATGTATCCCCACCGCGAGGCGCCCATGCGCTCTCGTGAGTTGAGTGGGGCCTCATTGGCCGGCGCTGCCCGCGCCGCCGCCTCCCGCAGCCTCGGGCCCAGCCGGGGCTGCGTGCAGCGGCGCCGTCGTGCCGCCTCCCTCCGCGGCGCGCGGCGCGGGCGACTCGGCTTTGCGCGTGATGAAAATGAGCGGGATCTGCAGCGCGGTCCCTGCGAGCTGGATGGCGGCGGTGACGAGGAAGGTGGTCGAGTACGAGTACCGGTCGGCGAGGTAGCCGCCGAGAGCCGCTGAGCCGCACCAGCCAAAGACGGAGATCGAGTCGAGCGACTTCCAGCGCGCGCGAGCGCTCTTCGGCACGTGGTCCATCAGCAGCGACTCTTCGAGCGGGTACGTGCAGTTCATCAGCCCGGTCCGAACCACGTAGAGCGCCGCGACGACGGCGACGCGGAAGGTGTGCTCGCTGCTGCCGACGGCGGAGCGCTTGACCCACGAGTCGAGCAGCGCCATGCAGACGAGCAGGGCGATGCCCGCCGTCTTGAAGCCGCACATCACCTGCCGGGAGGCTCCGCGAGGCTTCAGAGGGAAAGCTGCAGGGATGCCCGCCGACTGGAGGCCTCGCATCGCCTGCGCGCGGCCGAAGCAGCGCGCCGCTCTCGTGCCGAGCCCGGACATGGCGGCCATCACGAGCGGGACAACCACGTAGATGAGCTGCACCTGCGCGTGTTTGCGGCCGGGGCGAGGAGGTCTAGTGTGTTGGATGCAGCTGCCTGGGCGGGCAATCACGGACTAGGCAGGAGGGGAGCAGCTACTCCACACCTGGGCGGGCGCGAGGCCGCAGTCGTTGACGAAGAAGAGAGGGAAGAACTTGACCTGTTCACGCGCCCAACCAACGTGAAGCAGACGCCGCGCGCGGCTCGGGCCGGGGAGAGGCGCAAGAGGGCTCCGCGCCGTCATCCCCGAGCCAAGGGCGAAGCAGACTGACGAGGCGAAGAGCACGTACGGGACTGCCCACACGTGCGGAGAGAGCTCGCCCTCGGCCGCAGGCTTGTCGCCGCCCTCGCACTCGCCGCCGCCCTCGCCGCCGCCCTCGCCCTCGCCGCCGCCGCCGCCGCCGCCCTCACCGCTGCCGCCGCCGCTGCCACCGCCCCCTCCCGCCTCGGCGTCAGAGGCCGGCCTCGTGCCGTCGGTCGGGGGTTCCTCGTCCCCGACGGCGTGCTTGTCGCGCAGCATGAGGTAGCCTGGGGGCGGGAGGTTGGGGTTGGGGTTGGGGTGGGGGTCGGGGGGAGGAAGGGTTCGGATGAGCATTTGGCACCTCCCATCGCGACGAGCTCGAAGCCGAGGCCGGCGAAGATGACGTTGCGCAGCGGCGTGAGGGACCAGGTGCGGCCCGCCTGCAGAGCAGGTTCTGGGAAGGTTCTTGGAAGGTTCCGAGGAGGTTCCGAGGAGGGGAAAGTACGAGGTCGCCTCCCCGTGCGACTCGAAGAGGACGATGGTGAGGGCGGGGCCAACCACCGACGCGAGCAGGTAGATGACAAAGAGCGCTGTGTACGCGTGCGACCGCTCTCCCGTCGCCACCGAGTCAGCATACAGCGCCTGCGCCGGCCCGTTTCCGACCGCACTCACGACTCCCCACAAGCACTGCACAGCGACGAAGAGCAGGAGCAAAGAGAGCCGACCGCCGCTGTCGGTCGGCGGGTGAGAGGTGCCGTACGAGGCGGCGTACGCAGTGAGCGCGACTCCGAAGGGAATGAGTGCACCACCCCACCGTGCGACGCGGCCCTTGCCGAGACGGTCAGCGCATGCCCCAACCGGCAGCGCGACGATGAGATTGGCGGCGCCCGAGGCCGCTTCGATGTAGCCGACGTAGGCGTTGTTGCCCAGCAGTTCGTTCAGGAACTTGACAAGCACCGTGCCGGCCCAGATGGAGTCGGCCAGGCCCTGTGCAAGGACCGCTGCCCATGTCCAAGCCACGTTGCGGTTGATGGAGCGGCCGAAGCAGTAGAAGCGGCTGGGGTGGCGCGTCTGTAACTGGGGCTCGTCGAGCAGGGGCGCGCGAGGACGACACATCCCTGGTCGAGGGTCGAGGCAGGGCCCGGAGGCGAGGCGCTAGCTAGAGGGGTCGCTCTCAGAGGTTCCCGGCAGAGACGCCCCGGCGTTTGTTTTTTCTCACACCACGTGCCTCTACCCCGCCGTTCACGTGCACGAGCTTCTTGAGCCACCCACCCACCCACCCACCCACCTCACGGCCCGGCTGAGGCTTGGAACCACCCACCCACCCCACCCACTCACGGCCCGGCTGAGGCTTGGAACCTCCCACCCACCCCCAGCCCCACCCACCTCACGGCCCGGCTGATGAGGCGAGGAAACCCACCCCCACCGACCGACCCACCCCCACCACCCAACCAACCGTCCCGGCCACGGGAGACACCAGCAAGGTAGCAAAGCACCCAGCCTCGCGCGCCTTATACAGCACAGCCTGACCCACAGCCGAGGGTTAGGGTTAGCGTTAGCGTTAGGGTTAGGGTTAGGGTTAGGGTACAGAGAGTTCAAGCCGTTGTGCAGCTCCTAAGAACGGGCCGCTTCGGGTCGGAATGGAGGAACCAGCGGTCCGTTGACGCGAGCTCTCGGTGACCATGCTCCGAGTTCTTCCGGTTAGGGTTAGGGTTAGGGTTAGGGGTAGCTTGTTGTCGTCGTGCCGATAAGACAGAGACACGGGCAGCAGACGCGACCCAATCGACGCACCAGAGCATGGTTGGGCGTGTGAGCCGCCATCTTGGACTGCGAGGCGAGCATTTGCCACCGGGAGCTCGCCGCCGCCCCTACACCGCCGCCGCCGCCCTCCCGAGGCCAGATAATAGCCCAGAGTGCGCGCCGCCCTCGGTATCTGGGTGGCAGGCGGGACTAGAGAGGCACGCCAGAGCACGGCCGGGGGCGCGAGCCGCCATCTTGGACTGTGAGGCGAGTATTTGCCACCGGGAGCTCGCCGCCGCCCCTACACCGCCGCCGCCGCCCTCCCGAGGCCAGATAATAGCCCAAGTCGAAGAGTGCGCGCCGCCCTCGGTATCTGGGTGGCAGGCGGGACTAGAGAGGCACGCCAGAGCACGGCCGGGGGCGCGAGCCGCCATCTTGGACTGTGAGGCGAGTATTTGCCACCGGGAGCTCGCCGCCGCCCCTACACCGCCGCCGCCGCCCTCCCGAGGCCAGATAATAGCCCAAGTCGAAGAGTGCGCCCCGGCCTCGACATCTCGGCGGCAGAGGCGTCCCAAGCGACGCACCAGAGCACGGCTGGGCGTGTGAGCAGCCGTGTTTGACTGTGAGGCGAATATTTGTCATCGGGAGCGCGCCTCCGACTCTGCACCGGGCCGCCGCCGCCCTCCCGAGGTCTGCAGCTTCAGCAGGAGAGGGCGAGCCGGAAGTGCCAGCGGTGGCCGTGCACCACAGTGGCCCTCTGGCGGAGGGGAGGGGAACGTCGTTGGCGAAGCCGGCTCCCGGCTCATGGGCGGAGGCGACGCCCCTCCCCACGTTGTCGGCGGATAGCGGCAGCGACAACCTCTCTGCTCTGCCAGACGCGCCGTCTTGACGCTTGCTTCTCTTGTTCCACCCGTGTACCCATCTCTCGTCTCAACGTCTCGTCTCGCGCAGCGTCGGGCGGGTGACACCGCTCGCACGCAATGGAGATGACATCCTCGGTGCTGGCGCTAATCGATACCCAGAGATTGCCTGGGCTGGCCGCGCCTTGCGCGGGCCCCGGTGGGGACTGAGGGCTCCCGCGACCCGCGCGACGCACGCCCCACGGCCACGCGAGCGGAGAGCCCCGGTCAGGCGTCAGGGCCAGGGGCGTATGCATGAGACTGTCGTGTATGTTCCTGCTTTTTTTCTCGTTGTATGTAGTCGTTATGTAATGTGTTCGTATTTCGCTCTCCTCTCACACGTGCGTCGTGGATGTGTGTAGGATGTGTCGGCTATCGCCGAGACGCGAGCTGGCCGCTGCTCGTCCGTCTTGGCACCTTCAGAGCGACCGTCCTGGGACCAGGATCTAGACCAGGATCACGTCGAATCCTCACCGGACGCAGAGCGCCACACGAACGGCTGAGAGCGTGTCCTCGCCATATGGACTGTGGCCTGTCAGCGCATCGCCATGGGTGGGACTGCAGACGAGCGGCTGGCGAGGCTTGTGCCGGCGAGGCTGCCCTCGGAGCTGCCTGGCGTGGTGCGGCCCCGCGGCGTGGAGTTGCTCGAGGAGAGGCGGGAGGAGGAGAGGCGCGCTGACTGCGCCTGCAGGACCGGCGTGAGGCTCGCGTACTTTGTCGCGAGCTGAAGCGCGAGCTCGAGCTGCTCAATCTCGCCCTCGACGCAGCTGAAGGCCTCGCCCATCGCGCCGCCGCCCGTCCCGTCAGCCCCGTCCGCCCGGCCAGATTCCCTCTCGGCGGGCTGCGACGCAAAGCGCGCCATCACCCGCTCCAGCTGCTCGCGCAGCCCCTGCACCTCCCCCTTCACCTCCAGCGACACCTCGCTGCGCGCAGAGTCGCAGCTGCCGCCCTCCGTCAGCGCGGGGGTCAGGGCGGTGGGCGGGGCGCCCCCGGGGCCCGACGCCTCCAGCGCAGGAGCCGCGCTACTGCCGCTACGCCGCCCGGAGGGGCGCCTCCCAGAAGGCAGCCGCGGGTCGGGCTGGCTGCTCCTCCTCCCCTCGCCTTGCTGTGGGCCTTGCTGTGGGCTGCCCCTCCTCCCCTCGCCGCGGGGAGCGGGCGGGGCAGGCACGGCACCAGACACGGCACCCTTGCTGTGGGCCTTGCTGTGGGCGGAAGGCCGCCGCGTCGCCTGCTGCGCAGTGCCGGGGCGGCTGCCGAGAGCGCGGCACCGCGGAGCTGGGGCCGCCTCAGCCGCCTCGGCCGGCTCGGCCTCGGAAGCCTCGCCGGTAGATGCCGCGGACCCGGAGGGCAACGCTTGCTGCGCGCCGCACCGCTGCGCGAGGAGGGCGGCCTCGCCTCGGGCGAGGGCGAGCGCCGCCTCAAGCTCAGCCACCTTCAGCTCAGCCACATTTGCCAGCGCCGAGTCGGTCCCGTCGCAGCCATCCGCCTCCAGGCGCTCCTCCTTGGCGACTGCCTCGGCAGGCGCACGCGGCACGTGCTCGTGCTCGAGCCTGGGCCGAACCGCCTGCTGCTGCAGCTGCTCCCGCTGCAGCTGCTCCCGCTGCAGCTGCTCCCGCTGCAGCTGCAGCAACTGCTGCTGCTGCTGCTGCTGCGAGCGGAGGGCCGAGCGCTGCTCCTCCAGCCGAGCAAGCCGCAGCAGCAGCTGCTCGCGCTCATACTCGAGCTTCGCGACGCGCGCGTGCGCCCCGGCCTGCGACGAGCGAGCGGCGAGCGTGTGAGAGGGCCGTCGGCGGGCGGCGTCGGCCAGAAGCGGCTGGCGTGGGCCTGCTCTTGCCGCTGCTCCTTGGCAACCCTCGACTGGTGCTCCAGCACGGCACGCAGCGCCTGCGCTTGCTGCGCCTGCTTGGCGGCGCGCACGTCCGCCTGCACCTCGCGCAGCGCGTGAAACGCCTCTGCGTCGCGCAAGCAGCGGCCGAGGACCGCCACCTCAGCCTCTGCCCGCCGGCGCAGCGCCCGCTCCGCATCGTGCGTCGCCTGCAGCCGTGCCAGTTTGCCGTCGGCGACCTCCTGCAGGCGCGAGACATCGTTTTGCGCGGCGTGGGCGCGCGCGGCGGCCGCGCGAACGGCGTCGAGGAGCGGGCCGTCGGGTAGGCCCATCGACGGCGCCGATGAGTCGAATGAACTTCGGAATTCTTTTGTTTGGTCTCTCTGTGTACTTCCGGGTTTGGCGAAAAAGAAATTCCCGCGGCCCGCCCCTCCCCGGGTGCTGGGCCCGAGGGTCGAGAAGCCCAGTTTGACCCTCGGCCACGCGTACGACAGGCTCCTTCTCGACGACCGCGTAGCCATGTACATGCAACACGCTCGCACCGCCGTCACTGCCGCCGGCATTGGCGCATGCGGCGACGTGCTCATGCAGTGGCGCGAGGGACACCTGTCGGCGGCATCGGACGTGGACACCGGCCGCACCGCTCGGCTCATGTCCTACCGACTGGTGCACGCGCCAGTGGTCGACGCCTGCTGGCGCTTCTTCGACGCCCGCTTCGCCGGTCTTCGGTACGGTCCCGGCGTCGTGGCGAGGGTGCTAGCCGACCAGCTCCTCCTCGCGCCGCCTTCGTTGATCGCCTTCTTCCTCTCGCAGAGCTACCTCGAGGGTGGGACGGCGGAGGCGGCCGCAGCACGGACGCGCGACGCCTTTTGGCCCACCTACGCGATCTGCTTCCCGTTTTGGTGCTGTTGTCATTCCGTCACCTTCTCGGGCAAGATCCCCGTGCGGCACAGGATGGCCTGGGCCAGCCTCTGCGCGGTGATGTGGAACGCGCTGATCTCGGATCAGAACCAGAGGGCTGTCAGCAGAGAGGGAGCCAAGCGGGAAGGGTCCGTGCAGGGTGCCACAGAGCCGTCGGGATAACACAAACGAGGCGTGCATCGCGATCGCCGTCGCAGAGATGGGAAATGTCCGATCGGCGGTCGCGGCGTGTGGCACGCGCGTCAAGCCGGACGTGAGCGTCCTCTCTGAGTGTGTAAACTACCTTTCCTTTGCCAACGACGGCGTGTGTGTGCGTGTGTACTGTGTCTTTCCGGATTCTGTGGATGTTTCTAAAGTATCGAAAAATCGATAAAAATCCCAACAGGCGGGGCTATCCCGGGATCAAGTGGAGGAGATCGCAAACGTGTCGTGAAGCCGGCCGCGCCGCTCCCGTAAGAAACGGGCGCACACGGTTTGTGGGCGCTGTGATGCGGAGCCCACGGAAATGAAAAGCAAAAGGGCAGTGGACCATCGAAGGCTCTCTCAGTCAGCGCTTTGATCCCAATCACGACACATGTTACATGTACATGCACATGCACATGCACATGTGCATGTGTGACTCGCCTAGCCGTAGCGTGGAGATGCCGTGTAGCACGGGAGTACCCGTGTGGACCGGAGGTAACAGCAGCAGCAGCAGCATCGAAGGCCTTGTTTCCACGGCTTTTGCTTGCCACCCCAGAAGTGGCGGACCCAATCCACAGATGCCAACAACAAACTAGTTGCGAGAGAGAGATTTTTGAAAACAGATGCCCGGCCCCGGTCGGTGCGTCGTGGCTCGTGCGAGTGGCAAAAATCGGCGGTTGGTGCGGATGAGGAAGATAGATGAACGCGAGCAGGCCTTGGTCGGTGCCCCCCCCCACAAGTCCCAGGTATTGGCTCGCCAAAAAACGGAGTTTGAACGTGCGGGCTCGATATTCCCTGTGCTGTTCACAGCCTTGTTATTGAGAGGTTGAGTGCAGAAGATTGCTTGCCTACCCGGGTAGCAGATTGCTAGGCTGGGTCACCATGGCCGACGCGCCACCAGCCGCGAAGCGTGCCCGCCTGAGCGCGGCTACCTTTGGCGAGGCCGTCCTGAATGGCGACGAGTGGCTCGCAAAGTCCGAGGACGACGTGGAGCGCTGGCTGCGATCGGATGACCTCGCTGTTTGCCGGGAGACGACTGTGCTCGAGGGGCTCATCCGCTGGGCAAAGCACGACTTCGGAGCGAGGCGCGACGCGTTCGTGAGCATTCTCAACAGCGAGATCTGCGTGCGGCTGTCCCGCTTTACCCGCGACGAGCTCAAGGCGCTCGTGGAGAAGCCGCCAATCCCAGAGATTGCAAACGCCTTCTCACGCCGCGTGTGCGAGGAGCTGTTTCGTCGAACCGAGGCTGGCGGCGCCCCGCCTGCACCGATGCGTCTCTACGCGCAGCACGCCTTTGAGTTCCCAACGCAGTGTGTGCGCAACGGACCGGCCGGGGCCGTCCCCGACCTCAACGCTGACTCCTTCAGTCGCTACGTGCCCAAGCCGGCATTCCTGATGACAGTCTCCGCATCGAAGATCGTGGTGGGCGACCACGGTGGGCGCTCGGCAGAGCGCCGGTCCAGCATCAAAATCTACAACTCGTCCACGCTGCAGCTTGAGCGCGAATTTGCCAGCGGTGGCGGGCGAGTGTCGGCCCTTGCCTCGCACGGCGACAAGATCATCATCGGAGTGTCGGGAGGATGCAACTTCTGCAACAATGAGGACGAGAAGATCGCCGGTTACGCGACCGGCTGCCTCTACGTGCTGGACTACGAGCACGGTGGCGCCTTCTCGCTGGACGCGCACGGCAGCGTGTACCGGCACGAAGACGGCGGGGGCGCCAACGTGCTTGTGCGAGACCCAAACTGGTCCGTTGACCGCCTCTTCATGCACGGCGACTCTCTGGTGTCGATGGGCTATGGCACGCAGCCCGACTGGACCGCCGATTCCAGCATGACGTCCTCGCGGCACCTCGAGCAGCGCCAAGTCAAGATGTGGGACACGGCCACCTGGCTTTGTACCAGCTCTGCTGAGGGGCCGTTCCCAGGCGACGGGCACACTGGCGCGGAGCTCTGCCTTTCCGTTGGCAAGTACGTCGTGAGCGTGTCCGCGCCGAGGCACGGGGGCTCCGCGTGGTACGGCGAGCTGCACGTGTGGGCCACGCCTTCGTGGCGGCAGACGCACGTGATCAAGGTCGTCGGCGATGGGCGCATCGTCGGACCAGTCGCCCTGGCCAACAGCAATGGCTACCTCGTCACCGCCTACGGCGGTGCGATCGACACGACGGTCAAGCTGTGGGACCTCGAGTCTGCCACCTGCCTGACCTCCTTCCAGGCCGCGCACCCCGTGTCCTCGCTCCTCGCAGGCGACGGAAAGCTCCTCCTCTTCTACGAACCGGACCGTGACCTAGAGGAGAACCCCAAGCGCGGCGAGGACTTCGAGTCGCACGCCGACTTCGAGGTGCGCGACCTCGCCACTGGAAGCGTGGCTCGCTCGATCGCAAACCCTCGGTACGAGCCGCTGGGGAGTGACGACTCGCACAGCTATACGGCTCGTCACGCCGACCGCGAACGCGTTCGGCGTCGCAGTGTGGTCCGCGCCGCCTTCACGAGCAGCGGCAAGCTCGTCACCGTCGACCACCAGGGCGCTCTCCGCCTATGGAAGTAGGCCAGCTGTCGGAAGAGGAGGGGGATATCCGCGGAGCGGCTTCGATGAGAGCAGTGCGGCGAGACGCCGTTGCTTCGCTCTTACACATCGCGTTCGGCTCTCTCGCGTTCCCCCGAAATTGTCTCCTCCCTTCTTGATTGGACTGGTAATACGTTCTGTACGTGGACTGTCTCTCTGTCGCTCTCTGGGTCTCTCTGTCGGTGTCGGCTCGCTGCCCAGTGAACCACGTCGTGTCGTCGGTCTGACTCGCGGCGCTCTCGCCCCCTCGCGGTGGGTGGTCTCTACGCCGTCCGCACGGCCGCGCACTCCGTCTCTCAGACGCCGGCTCTCCTCAGCGTGTGTGACAGAATCTGCAAGAACGAAATGATCGCCACCATCCCACAACAAGAGAAGGCTGGGCGAGGCGATCAAACTCAACACATATTCCCCACCAGACATGGCGTAGTTAAAAGGAGCGTGGAACGCCGCGTTCCAACATCCAAGCGAGCGCGGGGTCCGCAGGGCGCAGCCGCAGCCCGAGCGGCTCCCGCAGCTCGGGCGCAAAGACGTTGTAGCCGTAACCACCGAGGGCTGCAGCAGCGCGCGCGCCTGCGGGGAGAGGTCCGGCGCCAGCGCGCGCGCGGCGAGGAGGTGGGTGGTCGCCTCGTGCGCCAGCTCGGCCGCGGCGTCGCAGAGCGGGGCGCTCGGCCAGAGAGGAGTTGCTTGAGCGAAGCGCCTGGCGCAGAGAGGGCCCGTGCATGTGTGGGAACAGGAGCTGCCGGAGCGGGAGTAGCACCGTGCCGCTGCGCCACGTCGGCGGGGATGTAGAGGCGCCTGCGGGGAGGGCCCGAGAGCGCTGAGGGACGGCGTGGCGCCGCGTCCAGCGGGGGATGCCGGGAGAGGCGCCTAGACTTAGACCGCTCACGTATTGCGGCCGTGCGCCACGTCGGCAGGGGTGGTGCGGGGAGAGGCGCCTTGCTCCGCGTGGTGCGCCGCGCCGCGCAGCAGAGTGGCGATGCCTGCTCAGTGACGGCTCGTGCTGCATGAGTCCTCGTCCAGTGGCTCGACGCCGCCGCAGCAGCGCTTACTCGAGTTACGTAGTACGGCTCTTAAATAGGGACGCGGCAAATCGACCGGCCGGCGCCCTCTAGAGCTACGCCTGACAAATCCCAAAATTAAGTAACTGCAGGACTAACGCCCACAGACAGATAGATGGACATGGACATTTGGACATGGAGAAGGGGAGCTCAGCTGTCTGCCACCACGACTCGCAAGAAGACACACACACACACACACACACACACACACACACACACACACACCATCACTCAACATGATACGTCACAACATGAACAAGAGAATTTAAGCCAGATTGGCCTGTCGGACCGACACGGGCGAGCAGTCGGGTGGTTTCATCATGCGAAGGCCAAGCTTCACGTGCCGTGCGGTGCGCGGCCACACTGGCCCTCTGCGCAGTCCACTGACGATGTAATCGCCATTGAGGCTGCGCCTCGGCCCCTCACCTCGCATCTGGCAAGCACCAGCGCCTGCTCGCGGCTGCGCCACGGTGGCGCACAATGGTCGAGGGCGGGGAAGGAGAGCCCTCAGCTGCAGGCGCTCGGCAAAGTAGTCGTACGACAGCGTGTGACCCGAAAACTTGTGCCCCGGATGCTTGTGGTGCGAGAGGTGGTCCGCCGTGCCGACGAGGATGCGAGGCAGCCAGCGGGACGCGTCCTCCACGGGTGGGAAGTGCATCAGGAGATTCAAACCCATGACGACGACCAACGACGCCTGCAGCGTGGCCCTCGAGGGCTTGAACAGGACCATCCCGGGCCCAAACGCGGTGATGTAGGCCAGCAGGAACTCGAGAGGCGACACGGCGAGCGCAGTGGACGGCGACACCGAGCGTCCACGGAAGCGATGATGGAACTGATGCACAAAGAAGAGGCCTGGCACCTTGTGGAAGGCGGCGTGGAAGAGGTAGTAGACTAGCGAGTGGAGGAGTACGGTAACCGTCACCTCGCCGACGTCCAGCGAGCCGGCACTCCATTCAACGCCGCCGGGGCCGGCGCCTCGCCGGATGAAGAAGTTTGGGAAGCTGCAGACAGACACGTACATCGGGACGCCGATCAGGATGGCATTGTACAAGTTGCACCACCACCCCTGCTGGTAGAGGTCCTTGCCGCCGGCCATGGAGCGAAGGTGCCGGACGCTTGAAAGAGAGAAGCACTCGAACAGCGCGGTGAGGAGGAGCATCGAGACGGCCATCATCATGCCCTCGAGGGCGAGTCGTTCGTGGAGCGCTTCGTCGACCCACATGGCGTCCATGAGCGTGAGACATGCGAAGGCGGCGAAGAGGACTCCCATTGCAGAGAAGCGAGCGAGACGGAGGCACTGGCGAGCACGGGAGGAGCAGGAGGCTCTCGAGGTGGATATCCTTTGGGTAAGAGCAAGGTGGGCGGCGGCGTCAGAGCGTGTCCAAGTTCGCCAAGGACTCCTCGGCTTTGTCTCTCCGTGTTAGGATGACCTCAAGGAATTAGGTCGATGTGAGCATGTGACAGCGTCGCTCGACGCGCGGGCGGGGCTGTCTCGGCTACGGGACCGGCCCCAGCGTCGGCAGAGGGTTGAAAGGCTGCCGAGCCCCCAATCACTGTGAGACAGATTATGACAGATCAGAGAGAGAGAGAGAGAGAGAGAGAGAGAGAGACTTTTTAGTCCGCATACGAGAAGGGCGTGATTAGTCAATATCAATGCTCTGAGAGCACTCATCGACAGGGCAATGTTGAGACATGAATAACACTACACTCTGATGGAGAAGTTGTCAAATAGTGACTCACATCGCGAAGGCGCTGAGCGAGGCGCTCTTGCCTCTTCACACACCTCTCCTCTGCAAACCTTTGGCTCCTCACACTCGCCTCTTCACACCTCTCTCTCCACACCTCTCCTCTCCACACCTCTGCTCCTCTCCTCTTCACAGAAAAACACAACCCCTCTTCACACCTCAGGCCCATCGCGTGCTGTGGTGTCCTGTGGTTCCACTGCCTCGAGTTTCGCACGTCACCAACCCTCTGCTCGCGCGCCTACTCGAGTAGAAGCGGAATACGTATTCGTGTACTCCAACGAGCGCTCGAGAGGACACGCATTCAGCTGTACTCGGCCGTATTCAGCCGTATCACTGTAGTCGCCTCCCTCGTATTCACGCGGTGCTATGAAGACACTGCGCAATACCGCATGCCCGCCCTGATGTTGGTGTACTCAGCACGTAGGCTTGCACGCCTCTACGAGCGGTACTCCTCGACGTCGTCACCGCGGTGGGCGGGCGAGAGTTAGCCGAGGCTAGTATGAGCACAACGAGGCGAGTACCAACCAGCTCTGACTCAATCACGCAGTACTAACCAGCCAGATCGGTCGCCGACGGCCTTGAACCGACACTACTGCTTACTTCTGAACGCATCACGGGGGCAGTCTGGAGGCAGGGCTCCGGCTCAGGTCGTGGGGCATAGCTCGGGTGTAAACGGGGTCTGGGGAGGAAGCCCCAGCGGCCCGCCGCAGGCGCCGCCGGAGGCTGGTCCGCCGCAGGCGCCGATTTTTTGGCGTTTTTTCTCAAAATTGAGGGATTTCTCATCTAAATTCTCATCCAAAATAATCGAGCTCGCTACGAGCTCTCTAACTGCACAGCATCTCCTCGTTGAGCCTAGCGGCGCCCGTATCGCCCACGCCCACATTCCTTTTTCTTGCCCTTGGCCCTTGCTGCACTCAGCCGCTCAACCTCCGCCAGTCTCTCCTTGCTCGTTGCTGGCGCTGCCGCCCCCAGTACTGCGATTGCAGCTCCTTGGCATGCCGCGCCGCCTCCATCTGCTGTGCTTCCCACGCTGCCGCTTCCTCTAAAGCAGCGCCGCCACTAAGCGGCGCAACCAAGTTCTCGCACTGTTTGCATGAGCATGTGTCCTGCTGGTGCGGCGCACAATCCGCGCGCGGCGAGTGAGAGTAGAAGACTGACAGCAGGAGCTGCAGGAGCTGCAGGAGCTGCGCAGATCGGATGGGTGGTGACGCCGTCGAGCGACGGCGCAAAGACCAATCACCACCGCTGAGAGCCGCGACACGAGGCTGCTGGCAGCTGCACCTGTGAGAGCCGCGACACGAGGCTGCTGGCAGCTGGCAGAGCGAATTGCGATTCCGGCGGCCGCCGTCAGCCCGCCGACACCGACGGCCTGTCTGAGGTCAAACTCCCACCGCACGTCGGACCAGTCGTGCGTCAGCCATGGCGACGAGACGTCTGTATGCAGACAGCCCGCCACCCGGGCGATAGAACATGCCAGCTGGGCTCTTCCAGGGCTCTCGTGGCGCGTGCCCAGTGGAATAGGGCGGGCTGCGGCGGGCGCAATAACTATTCACAGCTAATGAAAACTATAAAAACTCGCGGCTTCATCAAAGTTTGAGGTGGCTTCGTCCTCAGCACCATCAAGACAGCTCTATTCACACCCTGTTTGGTTTGAAGCCACTCGGGGATGCCCGTTTACACCCAACCGACGAGTCGCTGGGCCCTAAGACCTGAGCCGGAGCCCCGACCGCCCGCTAGCTGCACTCTAGGGCTAAGAGTACGATTCGAACACTCAAAAACGAACTCCACGAAAACACCGGGGGAAAACAATGGCCGCGTCAAAAAAGCGATCCAAACCAATCGAATGAACGTGCCACCGCACGCGCCCAAACAGAGGCAAGCTGCCCAAGACAGGCGCTGTCCGCAGATGGCGAACTCGGGTATCACGCACAGCTGCAAGCTGCCCACGACATACATACGGCCGCGGTGCTGCGTGGTGACACTCGTGGTTGCACCCTCGGAGCTCGGTTAGATAATAACATATTACATGAGTGTGTGTCGCTCATTCTGTGTAACATCCCCCAATTCAAGCGCCGCAAAAAAGGTTTGCGAGTTGGTCTTGCAGCACAGCGGCATGACGCCGAGAGTGTGAGTGTGTGAGTGTGGTATATCGACGTGACAGTGCTCAGTACTAGACCCTGGCACTTATACCAATAACTTATAGACACCGCATTTGACTCAACAGCCAAGCCCAAGAAAGAAATGGTTCGTGGTGTCTCTTTGCCCGCGTCGGCGGGGGCGCCTTCAGCATCCGCTCTCGCATCCGACGCACCCGATGCAGTTGCGGAAAGATGGCGTCGGGATGCACGCGCGCCCGCCGCAGCGCAAGCTGCGGACAAAGCTCCGCTCCGTTTGGTCCTCGAGCTGCTGGCTGGTGGCGAGGCTGCGCACGTCCCACAGCTCGGTATTCCATTTGATCAGCTTTGCATTCAACGATCCGCTCGGTTGGTATAGCAGTTGCAGTGAGTCGTACCCATGCGCGTGCAGCCGCGCACCAATGTATTGGTCGAGGACGCCGTCGCCCGAGAGCTGCCGAACCCAAGCAGGCACATGCAGCGGGCACGGGGTGCGCTCTGCCATGGCAAGTGCCTTGGCGATTGAATCCGCCATGAGGACGGTCCGTCTTCGCGCCGCCGCCTCCGCGCGTAGGATACGTTCTATGCCACACGTGTGGTCGCATTCGGTCGAGCACGTGGCGTTCGACTTGTGCTCGGAGGAGTGGACATCACAAGTGCCGCTCATGCGGGCAACCTTGTACGCCGCGACGAGACGGTTTGTCGCAGCAAACGTTCGGCCTGTGTTCCACATCACGGATGAGCAGCCGCGCGCATAGTGGAGCCACATTCCGCGCGAGGAGCGGTAGAAACGATCGCGCACGTGACCGACGGGGAGGTACACGTTGTCAACCTGTAGCTCGCGGTTCATCGCAGTTGTGCGGCAGTGCTCCTCACAGTCGGTCCCATTGGTACGCTTGTGGCTCGGGAAGCACGCGTCGGGCGTGTTTGAGCCATGAAATATCCGTGGCGCCATCCAGTGCGATCGGCGCGGTCGGGCAGCATCGTCGTACACGAGGCCTGCACGGTTAACGTCCGACGCGGTCGCGTTGTCGTGCGCTCGCACCACGGGGTGCGCCAGCCAGCAACGCGGTGCTGCGTCGGGCAGCATGCGCGGAGCGGCGTCTACTACAGAGCACGGCAGCTAGCTAGGTTCTCGTGGCGGGAGGGCTGAGACGCCTGTGGGTTCCGGCTCCTACCCAGATACTCGAGTAGGGGGTCTGTTCCCCACGGTTAGACCCTATGCAATAGGTAGGTGGGTCCGGTTATGACCGCCCCAGAGGGCCCCGCAGTAGGTAGGTAGGTGGTGGTGTGTGTGTGGGAGGGGGGGGGGGGGACGTCGCTCGCACGGGAGACGGCGCGTTTAGCCGCGAACAGGGCCGTCCAACGCGCGCACCGCGGTACAAGCCGGCGCGCGTCGGGCGCTGGGAGCCTATTTATTCACAGAGGGCTCAACGGGTATTTTTCGCTTCGCTGCGCGGCCCCGCAATAGGTAGGTAGGTGGGGCACGGAGCCTGGCGGTTGGCGCCCGCAATGGGTAGGTAGGTAGGGCGTTTTGGTGCGAGTCATGGGGAACAGACCCCCTATCTGGGTAGGAGCCGGAACCCTGGGTTGACTCTCGGCCAGATATAAAAAAGTGATGCCCCGGGCGGCGGTGAGGGCGGTGGTGAGGGTGGCGGCACCCGGGCGGTGGTGAGGGCGGTGGTGAGGGCGGCACCTACGGGTATGTTCGTAAGAGCTACACGCACTGGAAATTATGATGTGACTATCACAGTAGCCCCGGGACGGGGGGGGGGCGGGCCTCACCCGGGGCTCACCGGGGCCCGGCCGTCCCCGCCCCCTCCCTCACCTGCCCCACCCCGGGGCCTCACCCCACCCCAGCGCTAGCCCCGGGCTGCCCGACCTGGCCAGCCGGTTTGAACATCGCTGTCAGGGACCTCTTAAGGAAGGGCTCCAGCCCGGCCCCTGGCTGACTGCCAGCACCAATGCACCTGCCTGAAGCAATGGGTAGCTGCAGGGAACGCATTTCACGGCTTGGTTCGCACCGGGGGCCGGGGGTAGCTCGTCCCCGGGTGCGCCCTCACTGCCCCGGGGGTGGGTGGGTGGCCTCACCGCAGCCGGCGACGTCCCGGGGTGAGGTCTCGGGGTGAGTCCCGGGTGAGGCCCGCCCCCCCGCCCCCCCGTCCTCGGGCTACTGTGATAGGCACATGAGGAGCGCTGTGCATTTTGGCTGGCGATCTCACAAATGGCAAACGTCGCACCGGTCCGCTCCTCGTATAGTCCTCGAGCGCCGGGGTAAAGAATTCACGATGCAAGATTTCTGGCTTGTCTTATACAAAATCGCAACCCCGGACCCAAGACGCACAAGCACAGACAGTCGAGAGAGGCAACCCCACCTGGCTTGCCTTGGTCTTGACCTCTGAGATCTCTCTCAGAGAGTCTTGACTGCCTGGCTGGTGGTTCGGAACCAGAAAAACAAACGTGACGGAACCAGTGGTTGTGCATCAATTCCTTTCGATGCGATTGCCCTCGGGTTGGGTATGGACCTGCTGGTCCTGTTTGTTGGTCCTGCCTCCCGTGCGGCCGCCGGCTCGCGAGCCGCTTCATGACAAAAGAAAAACACGGCCGAGTCCCCATTTTCACGAGCAGGATCTTGGAATATTTTGATTTCTTCTTCGTGGCTACTCTCAAGTGAGGGAGTTTTGTTGAATTCTGCGTCTGAGAGTAGCTCGTCTCCTGGACACAGAAAAAAAGAAAATCGCGAGCATGGACTGCTGGGGCTGCCGCACCGCCTCGGCGCGCTTCTGCGCCGCCTGCGTGCAGCAAGCGACCGCCGAGCGGCAGCGCGGCATCACAGAGTTTACCGCGGAGAACCGCCGTCTCGTGAGCATCATGGCCGAAGGGCTCGACGAGAGAGCGCGCGCTCTCGCGCAGGCTGAGGCGCGGCTCTCTCACGCGAGGATGGTGGCGAAGCTCGCGGCGGAGCTGGCGACGGTGCGGCGCGAGGCGGACCAGCAGGCCGTCATTGTCAACGAGCTGCGCCACTCGGTGCGCCGCGCCTCGTCGCGCTTCTCGCGCGCCAAGGCGGCGGCGGGCAGAGGCGACGGCGAGGCGGCGGCGGGCCACTGCGTTGGCACGGCCGGCGGGGCCGGGCGCGAGCCTGGCCCGAGTCCTTCTTGGGAGCTGGCCTCTTCTCGAGAGCTGGCGTCTCGAGAGCTGGCCGACGAGCTGCGAGCTCGCCTCTCCGAGCGGCGGAGAGAGCTGCTGTGCGCGCCGCCTCTGCCGCCCCGCCGCCCCGCCCCTCCCGCCCCCTCCCTGGCCCCGCCGCCCTCCCTCATCCCCCCTCCCTCTCCCACCTCTACCCAGGCGGTCGCGATGTTGCGCGCAAACGCGCAACACCTCCTCGCCCCCTTCGCCGCCGCCGCCGCATCGCCGCCGCCGCCAGTGTCGGCGCATGTGCTCGAGCAGGCGCGGTCCCTTGCCCGGCCGCCTCGGGTGATCGCCTCTGACTAAATCGCAACCCGCTCACTCGGATGTACGATCGCCTCTGACTCGTCCTCCGCCTTGCTCGAGCAGGTGCGGTCCCTCCTCCGCGTGCCTTGCCTCGCTTGGGAGCTGCAGCAGCCCGACGAGTCCGCCCCGCCGCCCTGGCGCGCGCCCGAAGATGCGCTCGGCGCCGGGATCGCCGAGGACGCGAACGCCGATTGGGACGTGGTCGAGCGGCCGTCGGTGCCCACACCGGCCGACGTCGACGACGTCGACCATTGGGAGGCGGCCACCGCCTCGAGCTCATAGACACTAGAGGCCCGCCGCCGCCACGCCGCGTGTGGCACCGTATATCGTCTCGTTGTGAGTAAGGGAGAAAGGTTTGATTATTTTTTACTGTTTGCTTGGAGTCCTTCGATGAGTGCGCCCCTAGCTTTTTCCTTCTCTCCCCCCTCTCATCCCCCCCCCTCTGACCACTTGGCAGGCCGCCGCCTGCACACGGCTCAGCAGGCACGTGCTAGCACGCACCTACCCCTCCCCTCGATCCGGGATCGCTGCGAGACTTCGGGCTCTGCGGAGTTAGTCTCAGCCTCTTTCTCTTCGTCTTCGACTTCGGCCCCCCACGCCCCCACACGCACCCCCCACCGCGCGCTTCACCGCCCCTGCGCATGTCTTGTCGCCCTAGGGGCTCGGGCCCAGGCCTGAACTCCTCACTGCACTGTTGCAGAATGTCCCTTGTAATAGAGCGTTGTGTGCTTGTGGTATCCGCTTTCTCCTGTGGCATCTGCAATCTGGCATCTCGATGCGCGCCGATGCGAGGTGGGGTGTGTGTGTGGGCCCTCTAGTCGCCTAGTGTGGGCCGCGGCGGCCGGGCACGTCGTTAACGTCGTCGTACTTTCTTGTGGTCGAGAGGCTTGGAGGCTCACTGTCTGTGGGCCCTTGCTAAGTGAAAAACGTTAGCCACAAAGTATACACGCAACGGCGCCCGCCTGTTCGCTGCTGCCGCCGGCGTTCAGCCGCGCGGCTCCGGTTTTTGCACTGCTCAGTCACTCTGCTTTTTCCGCAGCCTTCGCCGCCGCAGTCTTCTTCGCCTCCTCCCGCAGGCGAAGGCGCTCGGCCAGGGGTGCCAGCGGCGGTGCGGGCGGATCCTCCTCGCCGGTGATTTTGAACAAATAGCAGAGCAGAAGCGCGATAAAAGCGAGCATCAGAGTTGCACCTCTCGCCTCAATCGCTTTGCTGGCGAGCCACGTTACCCAACTCGCGAGCAAATGCGCCACCTCGATGGCGTGCTCGGCGTGCCCCATAATCTCATTGGGCATGCCTCTTGATCGCTTCGCTTTTACAAAAAACAAATCCTGCACGGCTGCCCCCCCCATCCCAGTCCAACCGGACGTGGCATCTCGACAGGTGGGGGTTGTACGGGGCCTTGACATCGCCCTCCCGGCCTATGACAATGGTCCGGCCGCAAAGAGGTATCGGCCCACCGCCCCGCGGGTTGTGCGGTATCAGCCACCCACATGGCGAACCCCCCAGCGTCGCCCAGGGCAGGAGGGAGACGGCCGATGCTACCGCCGGTTCCGGGGCCCTGGCCCCCCCCTTGTCACCCCCCCCCTCTTCCCCGTCGCCCCTACCTCCACCGGAGTCGGTCGCCATCCTCGCCCGTTGAGGGTGGGGGAGGGTGGCCGTAGGCGAATCCTGGGATCGCCTCTTGCTTTGTGCCTGCGGCGGCTTGCAGCGCGTCAGGCTGATTGGCGCGTCAGGCTGATTGGCGCGTCAGGCTGACACCCTCGGACGGTTCCTCCGCCACCGCCGCCGCCTCCGCCACCACGTCTGACGCCGCCTCCGCCACCACCGCCGCTGCCGCCTCCGCGACGGGATACCACAAGTGGCAGTGACTCCATCAGAGCTCCAGTAAGCTCGGAGACACCCCATTAGCGCGGCTCGACCTCTTTGAGTCACTGCCTTCCCGCGGTTTTGCTGTAGAGCCTCTACAACAAACTCTACAGCAAAATCGCGCTCTACAGCGCTCTACAACGCACGCAGTTCGTCCCGCGCCGGATGTAGAGCTCTACAGCGCTACAGCGCTCTACAGCTCTACAGCTCTACAGCGCTCTACACTCTACATCCTCTACACCCTCCCTCAGGGCCCCGCGCCTCGCCGCTTGTAACACGGTTGCCGTCTCACTTTTGGCATGAAAGCTAAATAAACCCAACTCGCAAGTTCACCCCGGCTCGCTTCTGTCCTCTGTCCTCCAAGCTCTGAGAGATTTTTGAATCTCTCAAGTTTGAGAGAGATCTTCTCTCTCAAGTTTTGAGAGAGATTTTTGAAAACCAAACAAGAAATCACGACTTCACAGTGAGTCTTTCAAGTTTGGGGGGGGGGTTCAAGTTTTGTGGATGGATAGGCTGTGGATACTGTGCGCTGTGTAGAGGTCAACACACAGTTTCACATATGGTTTGATTCATGGATGACGCTGTGTCGGGTAACTGACCCCTGTATCAAACATGCGATTAAATAAATAAAGAAAACGGACAGGTGCATAAGCGCTTCCGTGTGTTGGTACCGTGGCGAGGCGAGCCGGCCACCATCGAGCCGGTAGCGCGGGACTCGCCAGCTGCACGACTCGGCAGGCGTCGGCCGACGAGGCTCCCTCCTGATCGCTCGGCAGTGAACGACGGCCTGCAGGACGAGCAGGACGGCAGCGCAGACGACGAGGAGTGCTCGACTGCAGACTGGGTGGGAGCGATATGGCGGAGGAGGCTTTGCCACAGACGCCGCGCACCGCTCGCGCCTTTGAGTCGCGTCAGCCTCGAGACGCGTCCAAGCGAGATGAGTCCATCGGCTTCGCTGACCCCCCATGACAACCAACAGGAGACGCTCTCAGCCCGTCAGCCTCGAGACGCGGAACAGGCGAGATGAGTCCATACATTTATCGGAAATGACCGCTCCATTGACACAACAGGCGCTCTCAAAAAAGAATTTTATAACGCCTTCTGCCTCGCACGACGTCTCAAAAAAAGATTTTTTCTCCGACTCCCTCGCACCCCCTTGCACGGGACTGGCGCGCACTGCCCCTTGCACGGGATTGGCGCTCACTGGCACCCAAAAAAAGTACCCACGCACGGGAGCCGCCTAAGCGACTCCTGCGAGGACGGCGAGGCACTTAGCTCCGTCCGTGCACTCGACCGCCCTCGCCGCAGGCAAGCTCACACACACACACACACACACACACACACACACACACACACGGGCGCGAAAAAATCAAGTTAATATCGGCAAGCGGCCCAAGTCTCACTCGAATCTCGATCTCCCCCGCGCGGGACACCACCCAATGCCAAAGTGGGTGCATGACACCACATAACGGATTTTGTTACGGACTGCACATGCCCCTTGCCTACCACTCGGTCACCGCGAGCGCAAAGGTGATCGTGAGCGTGAGCGTGACGGTCGCGAGCAGGTACTGGGGGATGATTGCCCACGCGACGAGCTGCGCCGAGCGCGGCTTCTTGGCGAGGTGCAACATCACGACGACCATCGAGGCCGTCGGCGGTGCCATCTCGACGAAGACGATCACGCGCATCAGGCGCGAGGGAGGCAGCTCTCCGAGCACCGCGTAAATCACGCCGCCGTGGCAGAGCGGAGCAAGCACCATGCGGCCGAGAGTGAGCGTCACCATCGTCCGAGGTGAGATGCCCGCCCCCTTGGAGCCGAGGAGCTCTCGCCACGACTTGAGAGCGCGCAGCTTGTGGCCGAGAGAGAAGGCGAGCATCAGGTTGACGATCGGCACGGCGCCCTCCGAGAGCGCAGAGAGCGCCTGGCCAATCGGCAGTAGCGCGGCTCCCGGCGCAAACAGCACCTCCTGCACCGGGCGGATGAGGCCGATGATCAGGCCGACAATCACGCCGAGGACTGGCGGCCGCCGAAACAGCGCGACGGAGCGCTTGCCGCCGAGCAGCGCGAGTGCGCGCGCGCGCTGCCACCGGTCCTGCCCCGGTGTCTGCACCGCGCGCACGTCGAGGCTGATCTCGCGCAGGCTCGCGTGGCGCACGAGGCCGCCGACCGACGGCGGCAGCGGCTCTGACGCCGGCGCGTCACTCACGGCTGCGACGGCGGCGTCGACCGACGGCGTGGCCGGCAGCGCCGCTATCTCCGCCGCTGGCAACGCCGCCGCCGCCGCCGGTGGCGGCGCGGCTGCCTCCAACACATCGTCAGCGGCGAGGTACCCGAACCCGACGACCCACACGTTGAACGAGTTGAAGCAGACGTACATGAAGACGAGCGCGCGCGCCCGCAAGACGCACTCGGCCGCCGTCTCGAACTCCACGTCGAAGGCACCCATCTCGCACAGCGATTGCGTCACCGAGAGCGGGATCGCCACCACGTTCGGCAGTGCCATCGCCACGACAAACGGCCGGCGGAAGGCGGGCGACGGGAGCGCGACCAGGCGCAGCAGCAGGCCGATTGCCGCGAACTCGAACATTGAGACGAGTCCGATGAGCGCCAGCACCCATCCGTCGGAGACAAATAGCTCCACGCTCAGGCCACGCCCGAGCGCGACGATCGAGAGCAGCGGGACAAAGATTGTGTTCATCGCCGCGCCAAATCCGCGCAGGTCGGCCTCGCGAACGATGCCGAACCAAGCGACGGCGGCGCCGATGGCGTATTGGATAAACAAACTGACGATGACGCGGAAGCTGGTGAGGAGGAGGCCGGAGAACATCTCCCTCGACTTCAGCTGCGAGCGCCCGTTCTGAGGAAGTCAGTTCGGTCGAGCGCGGAGCAGAGTTCGGAGCGAGTTCAGAGAGTCAAGCGTGAACGGCGCTTTCTCTCGACGATATCGGTTCTTCGCTGGGTGGAAGGAGGCCCGGCCGGCCTTGAGGGAGTCGCGGAGGAGGTATGTCCGTTTTCTTTATTTATTTAATCGCATGTTTGATACAGGGGTCAGTTACCCGACACAGCGTCATCCATGAATCAAACCATATGTGAAACTGTGTGTTGACCACTCTACACAGCGCAACAACAAACCTAAAAACAAGCGATGCGGCGAACGATTTCTTCCCTGCTCCAGTTAGCCGCCTGTGCCGCACAACCTTCTGCCGACACACACACGGTCCTTGTATGGAAGCCGCCGCAGCCGCCGCCGAACGCGGCGTCACCGCAAATCGTGTCGGCGACAAAGCAGCCGAATTTGCAGCAGCAGCCGATGATTTCGCATCCATGGCTGCGCAGCTCAGCTCCGCGCAGGAGACGAGCGCCTTTGGCTCCTTTGCTTCGGGCGGCGGCAACGAGGCGGCTGCGGGCGAGTGGGCCGACTTTGGGTCCGGCGGCGACGATTTCGGCGACGCATACGTGCCCTTTTTGCCGCCTCCACCGTCACGGTCCGAGGATGCGTCGCCCGCCGCTCCCGTCGCCAGCCCGCTGCCCGCGGAATCGACCGCTGCTGCTGCCGCGGCTGCCCAAGCCGTGCGCGCTGAGGCGAGCACGCCGACCAACGGCGGCGCTGCCGCCGGCGGCGACAGCGGTGGCTCCGGTGATGGCAGTGGCGGCGGCGACGGCGGCGGCAGCGACAGCCTCGCAACGCCCTCGTCGGCCTACGGCTAGCTCCCCTGGCAGCCCGCCTGGCCCGAGGAGCCTCCCACGAGGCCTCTGCCCCGCCCCACTAGGCTGGCTCTCCTCCAGCAGCCTCCTCTCCTCGAGCTCGCTCCTCTCCTCTGCAGCAAAGGACACGAGCGGCACGCGCTCTGACTTCCTCCTCCTCGCCCTCCCTCACACTGCTTCTTCATGCCGAGGATAGGACCTGAGCAGCATGCGCTCGCGCGCGGCAGAGACCCTCTCCTCCGCCGCCGCCTCCGCCGCCGCCGACGCGCAAGCCAAGGCGGACGCGCTGCGCGAGACCGTCGGTTCTGCGGTCGCCTCCCCAGGCCCCGCCCAAGTCCCCTCCCTCTCCTCCACGGCCGGACAGCTGTCATGACCGTCGCTGGCCTGTCCGAAGGCCTGTCCGAAGGCCTCGCCCAGATGAGCTCCCTCTCCTCCATGGCCGACAAGATCGACCTCTCGCCGAGCCTCTCCAAGTTCGCCTCTGACATTGGCGACGCGGGCGACACCTAGCCTCGACGCAGCCGAGATGCAGCCTCGACGCAGCCGAGATGCAGCCTCGACGCAGCCGAGACGCAGCCGAGATGCAGCCGAGACGCAGCCGAGATGCAGCCGAGACGCAGCCGAGATGCAGCCGAGACGCAGCCGCGACCTAGCCTCGACGCAGCCGAGATGCAGCCTCGACGCAGCCGAGATGCAGCCTCGACGCAGCCGAGATGCAGCCTCGACGCAGCCGCGACCTAGCCTCGACGCAGCCGAGATTAGCCGAGATGAGCCGATATCGGAGACGCGGGGGCGCGAGCTTTCCCGCTCGCGGCAACTCCCCGCCGCCCGTGGCGAGGTAGTCTCTTCACGCGGCCACGGCTCTCCCTCTGGTGCAGGCAAGCGGCTGAGCGGCCTCCCCTCGCTCGGCACCTCTCTGCCCGCCCTCGGCTCGGTCTCGATGCCTAGACACTTCCTAGACACTTCCTACTCTGCCCGCCCTCGGCTCGGTCTCGATGCCGTCTGTCTCGGTGCCCTCCGCCTTCAGCTCCGCCTGCCTTCAGCTAGCTCCGGCTCGGCAGTCACCTCTCCTCACCCAGGGCTGAGAAGTCACAGGTGCCCTCCGCCTTCAGCTCCGCATCAGTCCTCTCCGCCTTCAGCTCGCTCGGCGCCGGCGGTGGCGCGAGCGAACCGTCTCAGGGCGGCGGCGCGGCGGGCGAGGGCGGCGGGGAGGGCGGCGGGGGGGGCGGTGCGGAGGGCGCGGCGGGCGCGGCGGGCGGCGAGGGCGTTGCGGTGAAGAAGAAGAAGAAGCCGAAGCCTCCTCCGAGGCCTAAGACTCCTCCGAGGCCTAAGACCGATGCGGAGAAGTTCGCGGCGCTGATGGAGGCGGAGGAGTGGGAGAAGGCTGCGCACTTTGCGGCCACGTCTCCCTCGCAGGAGCTGCGCACGCGCGAGACGGTGGTGGCGTTCCAGGCTTCGCGCCGGCGGGGGAGGGGTGGCGCGTGCTGCGTAGCGTGGGGAGTGAGGCCCGCGCCGCTGCTGCGCGCAGGCGGCCAAGGCGACCGACGGCGGTAAACCGCCCGTGCTGCGGTACTTCGGCGCTCTGCTCGCGCTCAAGGAGAGTCGAGAGGGAGAGGGGCCGAGAGGGGCCGAGAGGAGCCCGAGAGGGGCCGAGAGGAGACGAGAGGAGACGAGAGGAGCCGAGAGGGGCCGAGAGGGGCCGAGAGGGGCCGAGAGGGGCCGAGAGGGGCCCGAGAGGCGGCGAGATCGCTCACGCTCAAGCTTCGATGCGCGAGGATGTGGCAGGGTGGCCCCGCCCCGCCCCCCGAAGACGCGTCCACGCGACGCCGCAGGACGGCCGTAGGACAGACTCACCGTAGAGGTGGCGGTGGTGGCGGCCGTAGGGCAGACTCACCGTAGAGGTGGCGGTGGTGGCGGCCGTAGGACAGACTCACCGTAGAGGTGGCGGTGGTGGCGGCCGTAGGACAGACTCACCGTAGAGGTGGCGGTGGTGGCGGCCGTAGGACAGACTCACCGTAGAGGTGGCGGTGGTGGCGGCCGTAGGACAGACTCACCGTAGAGGTGGCGGTGGTGGCGGCCGTAGGACAGACTCACCGTAGAGGTGGCGGTGGTGGCGGCCGTAGGACAGACTCACCGTAGAGGTGGCGGTGGTGGCGGCCGTAGGGCAGACTCACCGTAGAGGTGGCGGTGGTGGCGGCCGTAGGACAGACTCACCGTAGAGGTGGCGGTGGTGGCGGCCGTAGGACAGACTCACCGTAGAGGTGGCGGTGGTGGCGGCCGTAGGACAGACTCACCGTAGAGGTGGCGGTGGTGGCGGCCGTAGGACAGACTCACCGTAGAGGTGGCGGTGGTGGCGGCCGTAGGACAGACTCACCGTAGAGGTGGCGGTGGTGGCGGCCGTAGGACAGACTCACCGTAGAGGTGGCGGTGGTGGCGGCCGTAGGACAGACTCACCGTAGAGGTGGCGGTGGTGGTGGCTGTAGGACCAGACTCACCGTAGAGGTGGCGGTGGTGGCGGCCGTAGGACCAGACTCACCGTAGAGGTGGCGGTGGTGGCGGCTGTAGGGCCAGACTCACCGTAGAGGTGGCGGTGGTGGCGGCTGTAGGGCCAGACTCACCGTAGAGGTGGCGGTGGTGGCGGCCGTAGGACAGACTCACCGTAGAGGTGGCGGTGGTGGCGGCCGTAGGGCCAGACTCACCGTAGAGGTGGCGGTGGTGGCGGCTGTAGGGCCAGACTCACCGTAGAGGTGGCGGTGGTGGCGGCTGTAGGGCCAGACTCACCGTAGAGGTGGCGGTGGTGGCGGCCGTAGGACAGACTCACCGTAGAGGTGGCGGTGGTGGCGGCCGTAGGACAGACTCACCGTAGAGGTGGCGGTGGTGGCGGCTGTAGGACAGACTCACCGTAGAGGTGGCGGTGGTGGCGGCCGTAGGACAGACTCACCGTAGAGGTGGCGGTGGTGGCGGCCGTAGGGCAGACTCACCGTAGAGGTGGCGGTGGTGGCGGCCGTAGGACAGACTCACCGTAGAGGTGGCGGTGGTGGCGGCCGTAGGACAGACTCACCGTAGAGGTGGCGGTGGTGGCGGCCGTAGGGCCAGACTCACCGTAGAGGTGGCGGTGGTGGCGGCTGTAGGGCCAGACTCACCGTAGAGGTGGCGGTGGTGGCGGCCGTAGGACAGACTCACCGTAGAGGTGGCGGTGGTGGCGGCCGTAGGACAGACTCACCGTAGAGGTGGCGGTGGTGGCGGCTGTAGGACAGACTCACCGTAGAGGTGGCGGTGGTGGCGGCCGTAGGACAGACTCACCGTAGAGGTGCGGTGGTGGCGGCCGTAGGACAGACTCACCGTAGAGGTGGCGGTGGTGGCGGCCGTAGGACAGACTCACCGTAGAGGTGGCGGTGGTGGCGGCCGTAGGACAGACTCACCGTAGAGGTGGCGGTGGTGGCGGCCGTAGGACAGACTCACCGTAGAGGTGGCGGTGGTGGCGGCCGTAGGACAGACTCACCGTAGAGGTGGCGGTGGTTGTAGGACAGACTCACCGTAGAGGTGGCGGTGGTGGCGGCTGTAGGGCCAGACTCACCGTAGAGGTGGCGGTGGTGGCGGCTGTAGGGCCAGACTCACCGTAGAGGTGGCGGTGGTGGCGGCCGTAGGACAGACTCACCGTAGAGGTGGCGGTGGTGGCGGGCCGTAGGGCAGACTCACCGTAGAGGTGGCGGTGGTGGCGGCCGTAGGGCAGACTCACCGTAGAGGTGGCGGTGGTGGCGGGCCGTAGGACAGACTCACCGTAGAGGTGGTGGCGGCTGTAGGACAGACTCACCGTAGAGGTGGCGGTGGTGGCGGGCTGTAGGACAGACTCACCGTAGAGGTGGCGGTGGTGGCGGGCCGTAGGACAGACTCACCGTAGAGGTGGCGGTGGTGGCGGGCCGTAGGACAGACTCACCGTAGAGGTGGTGGCGGGCTGTAGGGCAGACTCACCGTAGAGGTGGTGGCGGCCGTAGGAAGGGCTGACGCACGACGAAGGCGTCGCTCTCGCCACGCCGATGGTGGCGCAGGGCCAGCTGCCGCTGCTGCAGCGCTGGATCGGGGAGGGGAAGCTGCGGCCGAGCGAGCAGCTGGCGGACGTCCTCTGCGACGCGGAGAGGGGCGGGCCGGCGGCGGCGCTGCCGATGTACCGGGAGGCGGGCGTGGACGAGAAGGCGGAGGCTCTGTTAGGGGTGTAGCGGTTCTCCTTCCTCTTGATTGGCAGAGGGCTCCGTCTGTAGGCGACTCTCTGCCTCGTCGAGACGGGCGACCTCGAGGCGCTGCGCGAGGAGAGCAGGAGAGTTGCCCGCCGGATGGGCCGAGACGCACTACGCGAGATGAGGCCGAGATGGGCCGAGATGGGACGAGATTACCCGAGGTGGGCAGAGGTGGGCAGAGAAGGCGGGGAGGATGGCCGCCGC